TATATATAAAAGTGTCAGTCTTTCCGGAACATTTTCAAAAGTTAAGTTGAAAAAGTTCTACTTTCTATACGCATTTTAATAGGTTTGCATCCCCCCTATATAAAGGGAAAAGGTCTGATTTAAAAAAAAAGTATGTCGAATGAAAGAGGTATACATAAAGTATTTATTGCTAAAGAATAGAATTGATTCATGCATTTGTTAAAAAATTATAGCATCATAATGTTAAAAAATGTAAAATATAATATCGAGAATTTTTTCAAAAAAATAGCATATTTTTGCATACGGTAGTCATTTTCACCATGAAGACAAGTCCAGAGGTAAAATTTTTTTTTTTTTAAATTAAAGTATATTAAATTAGCTTTAATTTAAGGTATATATAAAAGTGTCAGTCTTTCCTGTACATTTTCAAAAATTAAGTTGAAAAAGTTAATTTTTTGTAAAAAAGTTACCATTTTGAAACCCTTCCTGTGGGCTGTTAAAGGGTTAAATGTTCACAAAAATATATAAAATGATAGGTACATATCTAAGGTATTTATAAAAGAAAAAATTATATTGATTCCGTCATTTTTAAAAAAATTATGGCAATTTTAAGTAAAAAAAAATGAAAAAATATTGAAAATTAGCGATTTTTAAATTTGTAATTTTTTGGGGAATTTCCCTCTTTTACGGGGAACGAGGGAATTTTTTTCAATTTTTGAGGGTTATGTCTTCGACTAGATACAATTTGTGATCTTTTGACATATTGTTCATCAAAATCGGTCCAGTGAGAGCTAAGATTGAGCGTTCACAGACACAAAAAAAAAAATAATAAAAAACACATCATAGTAAAATTAATGCCTTCTCAGCTTCGCATCGAAGCTAAAAGTTAATATTTGTTTTTTTTTAACTGCTTATGGCAGTATATTGTTTTCTAAATACTTTAAACGCAAAAGTAAAATAAAATTTTCTATGTTAAAAAACGTTTTATAAAAACTATATTGTGTTTTAATGTTCTATAACGGTAAATTTAGTAGTAAGTTAATGTTACAATATATTTAAGCCTAACAAAACATTTTTGAGCTAACTCCTGCTCAAAATATTATAAACGAAATATTTTTTCATCAGTTAAATTATATTTAACTGTTTAAAAATGTACGTCGACTTATTTTATTTTACATTAAAATATTTAAGCTCATTGTTAATATAACTATGACTACATACTAGTTAATAACTTATTTATCCAAATTTTTGTTTTCATTTATGCACTATAAATGAAATCAACATAATTTATCAAAATTTCAGTGCTAGTAACAGGTATTTAATAAATATAAATTAATTAATCATTTGGAATTTTTTTGTATAAATATTCATATTTATGCGCAACAAGAAGTTCTTAAATTACTAGAGAAATATAAGGAGAGATACTGCGGTGCAAGGTGTTGGCTAATAATATAGAATTATAAGAAATTATAGGGAAGAAATTAATCAAAGGTTGAAGTGTGGACATCAGCTCTTGAAGGAAAGGGATTAAAAAGAAGTAGGAATAATAAAAGTAAAATATATAGTACGAGTTGGACAAACGAGAATACGAGGTAGGTGAAATGAGAAGTACAGTGACAATAAGGGAGGACGTGATAGGAGATACGCAAAGTTTTAAGTATTTGGGATCACTAGTGCAAAATAATAGTGTTATTAACGAGGATGTAAGACATAAGATTAAATGTGGGTGGGAAGAGTAAGAGAAGTGTCTGGTGTGTTAAACGATAAAAGAATTCCAATGAGAATGAAAGGTAAGTTCTATAAGACTATAGTGAGACCAGCTATGACATATATTTCACAATGTTGGGCAGTTGATAAGAAAATAGAGTAGTGAATCAGTATAGCAGAGATGAGAATGCTTAGATGGATGAGTGGAGTGACTAGAGAAGATAGGATAAGTAATGAGGGAGTATAGGTGTACCATCAATCGTGGATAAGTTGAGAGAAAATAGACTTAGATGGTTTGGTTATGTTATGAGGAGAGAAGAATCGGAAACCATATAGAAATTAAGAACAGTTATAGAAATGAATGTTGAAGGAAGAAGAAGAAGAGGATGGCCATAAAAGAAATAAGAGATGTTGTTGAATGCGATATGAGGACTATTGATGGGTGTGTAGATTATGTGAGACTATGTCAAGTGAAATTTTAGGATAAGGGTGATCGACCCCAAGTAGTTGAGATAAAGGTTGGGTTGGGTTGGTGAGGAAAAAGCATAAGATTTACAAAAAGTCAGGTCAGACAGATGAGTTCGTATCGCCAGGAAGAGGCTGACAGCGCTCTACACACTTTCTTCCGATACGAGGTGTGGGTCCAGAAGCGGGACTCTTTGGAGTCCTGACTAGAGTTCACGTTCCGAGTTGGGTTCATGGTGGACCTTTATGTTGAGGAGCCGGGAAGCGAGGAGGCTCGTCCAGGCGTTCGCCGAGTCCATCTTGAGAAAGAAGGAGGAAGCGGAACGCCTTTGATAGAGGCAGCCACGCCGCCCTGCACAGGAGGAGCTGAGGCGCTGGTTTAGGCCGGTGCCTTAGGTTCTTGTTTTTGTGTTTTGTGAGTTAGTTTGCCAACCCTATCTAACGGTTACCATTCTAGGATCCAGTTAACGGGAAGGGGCCACACCACGTTGTGAATTATATAGACGGCGTGAGCCGCCCTGAAGTAATACCTAACGGCAGTTCCAGGGCGGCCCACAGTAATGCCGACCGTGTAAAAAAAAAAAAAGGTCAGACCGATGATGCCACAATTATTTTCAGTAAATAGTTTTTAAATCGGTATTGACTTTACAATTCATTAACATGACACTTTTTTTTTAATAAAGCTTTTAATTTAATGTATGATTTTAGTTTACCAGTTATCATTAAGAAAATTAAAATAGAAAGTATAAACATTAATTGTTTCTATATTGTAAAAAAACTAATAACAACATAATATGTTATATTATAAGCAATTAATGGGATAAATTAAGCTTACATTTTTAACATCTATAAAAGTATTAAATATAATAAATTTATTATAATTAAAATATTATGAGAATTGCAAATTAAATATAGAAATAAAATTCAAAATTTTTCAAGTATAAAAAATAAAAACCAAAAAAAAAAAACTTTTTTATATTTTTGTTGTTTTATAATTTTTTATGTTATTATTTTCCTAGATAATATGGTAATTTCATTAATTATGTTTTTGGGAACATTACCAGTACTATTTTCAATGTGTATAGTAATTGTATATTACAAAATATGGAATTATAAAAGTAATTATCTTATTGATGGAATATCTTATGCAAGGGCGGCAATTAATATATTTTTTTTTACTTCTTGTTTTTTCTTACTCCTTCTATATTGTAACAAAATTTAAGTATTTTTGAGGGAGGGAATAATTAGCTTACCACCCATATCGTATTTACACCTCAGATTTACATAGACACAACTAGGAGAATGCTAGGATAACTTCAATCCTTGTCAATGGTAACTAAATTAAATTCCATTTTAGTTGCGCTTATGATCATAGTATTTTAAAATTCATTTAAAGGATTTAATTCACTAAAAAAGTTTCTTTTGATATTTTCGATTACCTTATTATGAAACTTGCTTACGTTTGAACAGTAAATTTAAGTTATCTTTAGGACGACTAAGAATTTTAATATATATATGAAATTAAAAATCTTACTAAATTAATTAGATAAAACATAATTGATTATAGACTCAAAAGATCACATAGCTATAATTGAAAATACAATACAAAACAAATATGAAAAGCAAATTGAAATTATAGTCTATGGACGAAAAATTCTAAGAAAAGTATTAATTATATTAAGTTTTGTCTAATAAGCTATATAATCTTGTAGGTTTTTTTTTGTTAAAATATTAATTTATTTTGGTGATTTAATGAGAAATTCTTAACTGGACCAAGAAAATTGAAACTATTGAGCACAAAATTATATCATCTATTAATTGAAGTATTTTATAAATGATAACATACACTCAATTGGACAAGTCAAAACGTACTATTGTCATTTTTATAATTTTACAGAAAAGTCAATTGAAAAAAAAAATTACATATAACGTAATGTAAAATTTAATTTTAAGACAAATATTTTTATAGAAATTTGTTCAAATAAATCAGCTATGACACTATTGTTTGTTTCCATTAAAATGGATATCTATTAACTCAATATTGTCATTTTTGGCAATAATATGTTTTGATTTGCTGCCCTATAACTTTTTATTTGGTGTGATTATTTGAGATACAAATAATGTATAATGTAGTATAATTTTTGGATCGTACCATAGACCAGTTTTCGATACGATATAAACATTTCTTGAACACTAGCAGTTATTAATGTTTAATGATAGAACTTATATAGTATCACTTTTTAAACACATAGGTAAACATTAAAAAGGGGTTTAGACCCCTAAAATTTTCAAAAGTCCCTAAACTATTAAAAATATATATTTTTATTTTTATTATATTTTAGTTCATTGGATATAGTTACTACTCTTAAGATTTTTTAGAAATTATATGAGGCATATCTGTATGTATTTAATGAAGAGAAAAAATATTATTGTTTAAACACCCTCTTAACCAATTAAAATCCCGAGTACGTGCCTGTTTCTGAGAGAGTTTACTTGAATTCATCTACGTAAATATACCTCTATTTGTAACACTCAATCACAATTGCTTAAAATATACCTTGGATTACCTCAAGTCATACCCAGTGTCGCGTCTACATATGAGGTTACGGGTGTAAGGGCATAAATGGCACCCCTGACACATTTGGCGGCGTCATAACCAATTAATCCTGTAAAATTTAGGTAAAAATGTATATTATGATCTTGCATATTCATAATATGAATATGCATTTTATATTTTAAATATTTTAATAAACGAGATATCTGAGCAGCTAGAAATTTTTTTTGAGGTAAGATGAAAAAAAAAATGTTGATAGGTTTTATTTGCTCAACACAAATTTTTAGAGGGCATCAAATAAAAACTACTCTGGGGAATTGAATTCCTTAATATGCCACTGGTTTACTTATAAAGAACGACTGGATGTTCATAATAAACAGATGAGTAGTATATGTCTGTTCTTTCTAAGTAGGTTTTAAGTTATACTATTTATTCTATTTATTCTATTTTAGATAATGGTTATGTCTAAACAAAATACTTACAGTGATATCACAAAGAAATTCCTTGTTAAACACTCACAACGTTTATTGAAAATGCAAAAAGATTATATGTCTCATAGATTTTACGTATGAATAATAAAATTTTTTTTGATATAAAACAAAAAATTTTGTTTCTATTTTAGATTAGAATATATAAGTGAGCTCATTTGCTTATTGGTTGTTATTTAAATTGTTTATATTATTAATTAAATGTGAAATACATAACTTTAATTGTTTTTATGATTTTAAAATTTAAGGCAATGGAACATCCTGCTAAGTATTTAGAAGAAGATATAATTTTAAAAGACGGAGAAAATACTTTACCAGATTTTTTTTTTATATTACAAAGTATCCGGTCAGTAAATATTATAAGCTTTAAAGATAATCAAACATATAATCTTATTGTAAAACCATTATTATCATTTAATAATTTTTATTGGGAGGTTACTAGAATTATAATTTATTAATAAATTATCAAATTTTTGTAAAAATATTTATTTTTCTTAAATTTTTAGAATTAAGTCTCCATATAAAACTCCTGTAATATTTCCAGTCTAGTCTAAGATCGTTTAAAGTAATTAATTTCAAAATCTTGAATGATAGTCTTTAATATTAATTAATAATAGTTTGATTCCGATAAACGTAAAACTTTTTATTTTTTGTATGCTCTTTCTTTTTATAAATTGAAATGCACGTGAATAAAGCAAGACATTTTTTTTGGAATGAACAAACGATATCAGTTTGTAACGGTAAAAACATCGTTTCTGAAATATGCGGGATCCTCTTATTATATTTTTTTGTTGAGTTAATTTTATTTATTTCTTAATTAAACAGCCATACGTAATCAATTATCGTTTTTTTGGATTTAACTTAATTAATTTTTAATAGAAATTTTAACTGTATTAAATATAAATATTATTTATAGCAGTTAATAAAAATAAAATACAATCATAAAAATCTTATATTTTTTGAACATTTCATTTGCATTTAAGTGTTATACAGAGTGTTTAGTAAATAAGGAAACGGATTTCTATTGTTTATAACAATTGACCTGTTTCCTTACTTACTGAATACTCTGTATAATAATAAAAATGAAAATTGGAATGGTGATTAATTAATCACAAATTATTTACTATTTTTCGTAGGATTTTCGGTCAATTTACTAAACCAATATTTTTCAAATTATGCCAGCAAACGGAAATCATTAGCGTTCGTGCTGGGATGTATTTATTTAAAATTGGCGATCTAGATGAAAATGTTTTTATCATTAAAGATGGTTTAGTTACTTTAAATATCACATTAGTGGATGGTAGTACTACTCCACTGAGATTGGTAAAAGCAGGAGATAGTATTATTTCATTATTGAGTTTTGTTGATGTCCTAACTGTGAGTATAGTAATTTCTTATTTTTAACAATATGTGAATGTTTTTTACTAGGCTTAAGTTTTGATCATAATTTAGGTTATATAAAAAAAAATTACAGACTCATTAGGCTGTAATTTTTTTAATTTTGCTGTATTATATCAAATTTAATTATTTCATTATATTGTTGAATTTATTAATTTATATGAAATTACCTAGGGTCATACAAAACCACTTCAAACTATAAGTGCGAGAGCTGTTTATGATAGTACAATAATACGATTACCTGTAGCTTCGTTTTTAAAAGTTTTAAAAGAATATCCAAGTTCTTTATTTCAAATTATTCAAATCAGCATGGTTCGTTTACAACGAGTAACATTTACAGCCCTTTATCAACATTTAGGTCTTTCAGTCGAATCAACTCAAATTGTTAGTGTTTATTAAGAAAATGTATTATCGTTTTATATAAATCTGAAATGATTTATCTTTTGTTATAGGATGCAGACGTTTATGAAGAAAGTTTTGTAAATCCAACTTCTGGTAACAATAATTTTTCTTCTTTTTCCTCACCTTTATCTCAACTACTTGAGGACAGTCACCCTTATCCTTTATACCAAAATATTTAACACATTTATATTTTTACTTATTACTAAAGACTTTAATATATTTTATTTATTTATTTATTAAGTTCAGAACCGAACACGATAAAAAGATACTAGTAGACACACACATCAATAGTCTTTATATTGTATTTAATAAAATCTCCCATCTCTTTTTTGGTCTTCCTCTTCAACATTCATTTCTATAACTGTTATTAACTTCTATAACAGCTTCCGATTCCTCTCTCCTCGTAACATGACTAAACCATCTAAATCTATTTTCTCTCGTCTTATCTATAATTGATACTATGCATATACTCCCTCTATTATGTTCGTTCCTTATCCTATATTTTCTAGTTACTCCACTCATCCATCCAAGCATTCTCATTTCTGCTACATTGATTCTCTACTCTAGTTTCTCGTTAACCGCTCAACACTCTGAATCATACATTATAACTGGTTTTACTATTAGTTGTCTCATACAAAAAACTGGCTCTGTCGTCGACTTCCCGTCCCTTGTCCTTCAGGACCCGGATCCTGCATGTGCTCCATCCCACTCGTAATCGTATCACACCGGCCTATAGCCTTTAGGTTGGGTTTGGCCTTTTTGATGACCATGGCATACTTTAGGTTCTCCTTTAGCGGACCGATTATGACCGCCTGAGTGCGAGGGGCCTTCGTCCTCAACGCGTTCACAATTGGTCCACTCGCGACTGCAAGGGGCATGGGGTTTGGGGCTATTGCTTCTCCCGTATATTACAACGGACCACCTCGGACCAAGTTGTTGACGGTGGCGGTCTGCCCGGAGGCACCGTCGCTGGGGAAATTTCACCGGGAGTAAGAGGCATCACCACTGTCCCATCCGACGGGCCCGAACAGCTTTTCAGCGCAATCGCACTTGCCGCACCCTTCCTCCTCTTACTCTTTCTCCGCTTCTTCACCTCATTTGATAAAGTAGAGGCTAGGGGTATAGAAAGCGTACCACCTACACTCACTGGAGTTCGTTCGTTACCCGCAACCTCCAGGAACTCCGTTTACGTCGACGAATCGACAGTAGGGAGATCCTCTTTCAGTGTGGGTTTGCTCCAGGTCGTACAAGGTCCCAAGGTGACCTTCCCAACTCCATCCACTGTTTGGGACACTTCGTTTCTCTTGTCTCGCAATGATTCATCTTCGGCCAGGTCAGCCAAACAAGCCGGCTTGGGTGGGTCAGGTCCCTCGTCGGGTGTGCTTCCTAACTTGCCAGCCAGAGGCCATAGTCATATGCCTCGACTGCATCTCTTTGACCCATACCTGCGGATACAAGAGTAGGATTACTTTTGTGCCGAGATAAGATCTCGCTGAAAGCGAGTCTACCGGCATTTACGACACGGTTAGCCGCGTTGTCGTTCCCTTCCTTTAGCACAGAGACGCAACGTGACATTAGGTTCTCACGATCTGCCTCCTGCACCATTCTCTCAAAGGGATTGTAGGCTTTAACCTTTTTCCTGCGTTTTACCTGCCGCCAAGGGATTTGGTTTCGATGTTGCTTTCACCTAGGTGGTAGGTTGCCTTACGGTTTGATGTCACAGCCTTATCAAACATCTTTCCCACTAATGAAATCCAGCAGTCCCAGTCTTGTTCCACGGAAGAACTTTATGTCTCTCTTCAATATTCCTCATTCAATAATTTTTCAAAATACCCATTTTTTCACATCATCTTCGCTCATTAGCACCTACTCATCATCACTTTTTATTCACCTTACATTTTGTTAATCTTTAGATCGTTTTCTCTTACTTTTGCAAGTTTATAGACTTCTCTTTTACCTTTCTTTATTCCTAGCCTATCATACACCTCAGCATACTTCTTAAACTTCGGCATACCTACTACATACTTGGCTTCTTTACACAAGCGTTTATATTCAATCCACTCTTTTATCCTAGAGCGGAGTGATGACACTGTTGACACTACAAGCGTTGGATAGGACTGTACATATGACTGGTGAAACAGATACCACAAAAGTTGTTTAACTGGTATTATACACTTTATTCTTTAGTTTTTCTCCGTCTCTAACTACTTTATTTCCTCTTACTTGTTGTCTCTGCGTATATCCGAAATTATATAATCTGCCTGAGTTCTATTAAGAACTCTTCATACATTTTGACAAAATTTTACACCGTCTGACGACCTGATGCAACCTCATTAGTCGCCTCTATGACTGTCAGAGTATTATTATCCCCTTCCATTGGGTAAAATAGTAACAATCATTAATTTAGAATAAATTAAAATTATGATTTTATGGATTCTATTACCAATAAATTTAAATAAGTACGTTTTTAATAGAAAATGAGATTATATTATGAAATATTTGTAAGTATTAATATAGGTTTTTTTCTACAATAAGGCGTATTAAATTTAGCTCTTCAAGTTCGCATGAACTCTATTTATTGGATAAATTTATACTTGGGATATTAACAAAGTATATATTATATGTTGCATTATTTATATAATCAATTAAAAAAAATCAGAATTAAAATTAAAATGTACGTATAATAACATGTTTTAGAGAAAAATTCAACAAGTGAATTATTTCTACTCAATACTAATAAAAATAATTCAACTACAAAAACTAGTGAATGGTACCTTAAAATAGCAATTGATATGTTTGTTAAAAAACTGGAATTGATAGATGACAAATTTTTAGAAGAAAAAATTAAAATTTATTATGTTTCTAAAAATACCCATCTGATGCACGAGAATTTTTACTCGGTGAGAATATTTATTTTTATTTTTATATATTTAAAAAGTAAATTTATATTTAAATTATTAATAAAGAATCGATGATGATTTCTATTTAGTAATTTATTTATTGTGTTATGACATTTTAGTGATGATAGTCAACTAACATTTTTTATCAAAGTTAAAAATAAATCACCACCTTATGCCAATTAAATATATAATTTTGAAAAAAATGTTAATTGTAAAAACCCAGCACAGTGGGGTTGCGATACAGAAGGGGCAAGTATAGATGATATCTAACAATGATGCAAATCTTTTCGAAAACACTCCGTGGCAAATCTGTAAATAGTGTTTAATTTTTTGAAGGGACTTATTATAGTAATTAAATTTAGTATGAAATTGATGATGAATAATTTATAATTGTAAATTTAACGGAGAAATGATAAAAATTATATTTCCTTGTATACGGGGGGTGTTTCCCTCGTTCCCCGTAAATAGGGGAAACCTCCAGAAAAATTACAAATTTAAAAATCGCTAATTTTCGAATTTTTTCAATTTTTTTTACTTAAAATTGCTATAACTTTTTTAAAAATAACCGAATCAATATAATTTTTTTTTATATAGATTTATGATATCATTACCTTTTATTTGGTATTTTTTTTTATATTACAATAAATTTATAATTAATAATTTATAATAATAATTTTTTATGTTACAAATAATGAGAACAATAGAAACCCGTTTCCTGACTTACTGAACACCCTGTATATATCTTAAATTAAAGCTTATGTAATATACTTTATTATGGAAAAAAAAATTTCGGACTTTATTTTATTTTCATGGTGAAAAGAAGACATCAAAGTTAATAAAAAAAATACGATTTTTGTAAAAAAATTCTTTTTTATATTTTTAACTTTATAATGGTATAACTTTTTGAAAGATGTATGGATCAATATAACTCTTTTTTTCATAGATGCACGATGTCTTTACCTATCATTTGGTATATTATTTTTATAAATCTGACTTTTTACCTGCCTATAGGGGGGGATTCAAAATGACATCTTTATCACAAAAAATTTACTTTTTCAACTTAAATTTTGAAAGTGTTCCGGAAAGTCTGACACTTTTATACATATCTTAAATTAAAGCTAATGTAATACACTTTATTATGAAAAAAAAAAATTTCGGACTTTATTTTGTCTTCACGGTGAAAATGGCTACCGAATGTTATTTTTGTGTGAAAATTCTCGATTTTATTTTATTTTTTACTTTATAATGCTATAACATATTGAAAAGTGTATGGATCAACATAATTTTTTTATGAGAAATAATATTTTTTAATTATCCCTTTTTCATTTGACATACTTTATTTTAATCATGATATTAATAAGGAACTAGCAGATCATGTAGCTTTTGGAATAATCCACAAATTTTTTAAAATTAACACTATCTAAAGATTTGCATCGAAGCGTTTTTTTTTTGATAGTGATTTTAATCACTGTCGGATATCATTATACTTAATCCAACTATGCCACGTCACCACTGTGCCACGACCCTCCTGTGCTGGGTTTTTTTAAAATAGTTATACAAAGAGCGATGAAAAGTCACCGAATTGCTGGTGCTCCGCTTCGAAAAAAAATAAGTGGTGGGGGGAAATGTGCGTCAGACCATTCTTTTTAATCACAATTCATATCAGTGCGCTGTGATCAGCGATTGAGTTAACATTGGTGTTTGTGTAAACATTATTTTTTCAAGTTTACGGAGATAATGTTCTATTAAATTTATGAATAGCTTAAGGCATTCAAATATGGCCGGTAGGACGACGAAGACAAACCACGCTCAGTGAGACCTTCGACATCAAAAACTGTCGAAAATGTTGACACGTTTGTAAATTTTTGAATATTGACCTACGGGCATGTATCCAGAAGATGAGTAAAGAGTTGAATCTTACCAACTACAGCGTTCAAAAAATTGTGATGGAAAAATTGGGTATGTGCAAGGTGTGCACTCACATAGCGTTTCTTTATACCCTTACCTGGCTAAGCATGGAATTGCATTGCTTTCTCCTCTACATCCCAGATGTGTCTCCCACGGACTTTTTTGTGTTCCCATTCATAATAAAAACACGAAAGGAAGGCGTTTTCAGACGATTGAATATATTAAAAAAGTGTAACTGTCAAACTAAAAGTCATCTGTACAAAAAATGCTTTGAACGGTACTAAGACCACAACCTTTGGTGTATCAAAGCACAAAGAATATATTTCAACGAATATTAAAAATTATTAATATTAAAATATTTAAAATATTAAAGAATCTTTATTTTAAGAGAAATTAAGTGGTTAACATTAAAAAAATTATTAAAATTTATATTATTATTTCATTTATTTAATTTATATGATAATCGGTCACCCCATCACTGTAACTTCTCTTTTTATACAGTATTTTATATTGAAGTAAAAAAAGTATGTCAGATAATAAGGATATGTATATACCACTTAAAACAAAAACATTGTAATAAATCATACATTTTTCAAAAAATTATAGCAATATAAAAACCAAAAAATAAATATGATATTAGCCATTTTCATATCGAAGATAAGTCTTCGAGACAAATTGTTTTTTTTTTTAACTTATAGTATGTAATATATCCCAATTTAACATATTTGAAGAACAAAATATATTCTGAACATAATAGAAAAAGTAAAATTTTTGATCAAAAGTTGCTATTTTGAATCTTTTTCAGTGGGCAGGTAAATGATTTAATTTAAAAATATATATAGCAAATGTAAAGGAAATACCTAAAGTATTTATAAAAAAGAAAATTGTCTTGATGCGTTTTTTCAAATAATTATGACAGTTTTTAAGGACATTTTTTTTAAAAAAGTAGAATTTTACCGATTTTTAAAATAGTATTTTTTTAGTGGATTTCTCACATTTACGGGTAAAGAAGGACATTTTTTTAATGTTTGAAGGCATTGTATCCAACTAATTACAATTCGTGTTATTTAGATATTTTGTTGAAAGAAGTCAGCCCGGTGATAGCTGAGAAAAAGTGGCGACAAACATAAAAACAAAAATAAATACATATTAAAAATTATACTTTTCAAGCTTCGCATCAAAGCTAGAATTTTTGTGTTTTATCTAAATTTACAAAATCTACAATAATTCATAATATAGACAACTTATTTCTTTACAACCGCTAAAAGTTAATCGTATTAAGATATATTTTCGTTTAAATTTATTTTATAAACTTGGTTAAGTTAATAAACTCCTTTAATTATGAATTTGAAATTATTTATATAATTTCAAATAATTATTTCATTCATTTAGTACCATTAACTATATTCATATAGTTTGTGCTAAAATCATAAAGTAGGAAATTGGGATTATTGGGTGATGATGCATTTTGCCTTACTTGTTAGTCATTTTTTTTATACTTGAACATTTTTAGCATGAGGATGAAGAAATATTTAAAGTTATTCTCTTATTTTATTTTAAAACTTTCTTTAGTGATTCTTTTGTAATTAAACTTAAAATCATTGTAATAAATAAACGTTGATATATTTATATATCAACATATGTATGTATAGGAAGCTGCATTGATATTGTTATTAAATGGGTCTCTTTCTGTCTCTCGAAAAGTCGATTACGACAGATTATCATCGATTCATATATTATCTATAAAGCCAGGTGATATAATTGGAGGCTTATCTTTTCTAACAAAAGAAGAAGGATTCTTAACATTTAAAACCATTGAATCTAGTGTTATTGCTGTTTTATCGAAAAATGAATTATACGCGTAAGTTATTAAATGTACTAAATTGAATGTATTTAATGTAGAATAAATGAAAAATTCTCATACTTCAATGTCATATAGTAATTTTCTAGTTATCATTTAAACTATTAACTAAAATTTTGAAATTATTTTGGAATATAATCAGTTATATGCTACAGAATAGTGCAAAGTGTTCCGCAAATTATTTTACCCATTGCAAATACAGTAATTTCTCAACTTTCACCTTTTATGCGTCAAGTTGATTTTGCACTGGATTGGTTATTTGTTGAAAGTGGACGTGCTATTTACAGGTTGATATATCTAAGTTATGTTAACTTAATTAACATTTTTAAAAGTTATAATTTATTAACTTCATTAAGCTTTTTTTTTTTTTAAATTTCAAAACATATCTAAAATGTTAACACTTTTCTATCGCAGTTGATTTTTAAAAATAGATAAGTAAGATAATTAACAAAAAATATTGCGAATTGTTAATTTAGGTTCTCAAAATATAGGAGACTGAATAGAGCTGAAGTAAACATTTATTAATTATTACTATGAAGTCTTTAAAAGTCTAGTAGTGTCAACATATGTACATCTAGGGGGTTTATCCCTATCCGAATTTAGAAAATTACATTTATTGTAGTATAAAAATATTTTGATAGCGGATAAAAAAAAATTGTTAGGTGTTGAAATTTTTAATATGAGGACTTAGAAAATTTTTTGTCAAATTTTACCCCTGATAAATAACGATTTTTGAATTGTAGTAGATTTTAGAGCAAACAAAAAATAAAGTCATTAAAATTATAATTCTTCCAAAAATATATCAGATTATATAAAACTATGTACATTTTTATGATTTAATTCATTTATGTGAAGGGGCATTGACTCGAGACTTAAAGAAACATCCCCAATTGTACCTATTTGTGCTAACAATTATATATGAAATTTATATAAAAAAAAAAAAAACTAAAATCCTGTTATTTGAGAATTTTAATCAATTTTCAATTAAATAAGCAAAAATTTTAAATCAGTAAATGGCGCCTTTACGTTCAACACCCAATAGAAGGCGTGGTAACTGAAGAATTGTTTTAAAAGTAATTTTTTATCTATTTTTATTTTAACTCGAGTAATTATTTGTGAAACGAAATTTCTTATTAACTATCCGATATTAAATAAAGAAATAGCTTAAAATAATCGGTATAATTATCATCATGGTTTGTCAACGATATACTTTTTGGACATCGATATCGTATCGAAGTTCAGCGATATTATGTCACATTATTGGAAAAGAAATTTTCCCGATCTTATAATAAATCAATATCATATGAAAATCGATATTGGAAAAAACCCGTTTGTTGCTGTATATCTTATAATTCTGAAATTTCCTTTTCTAATTTTCCTCATACCTAACTTTTATCGTGTTTTGTTAAAAATAGGAATAAAAACAATGTCATAATAAAAAAAATCATAATCTAAGAATAGAATTTTGTACCAATAAATGTCATTTTTGTCTTATCTCAATTCGATACTTGAGTCGTCCAGTTGCAAAAGGACGTATGTCCAAACACACAAAGTTTTCACAAACGACGAAAAACTGATATTTTATTTAATTTTTTATAAATCGCAACCTTTTTTTTACAGGTACTTCAAAAAAATACAATTTTATTATTATGTGAACTATAAAAATCGTGGATAAATAGTTTTTTAAATAATTAATATTTTAATTTGGACATACTTTTTTTAAAACTAAAATACAGACTTAATTACTTTTGAAATAATAAAAACTAATTTTTTAAAATTTTTTTAACCGATAAAAAATAATAACTTAACAATCAAAATAACTTTTAAACTTTTTTTAAACAATACAGGATAATAATATGACAATCATAATAATGTTTTTTTTTAATCAAATTCTGCGGTCCTCTTCATTGATGTCGCCGAAATCTGATTCATTATGTTGTTCATTTTTCTCATTGTTCATAGTTATTACAGTCTTATAGTATTCGAGATCTGGTAAATTTTTCCAGTCACATCCAAAATGTTTCTTCAGTAAATTGTCTACATCAGTATTTTTTGCTGTATTTATTTGAACACCTTTATTTAATATGTTAAGCTTCATTGATGTTAAACTTTTTCCACGATTACATAAGCCTTTTTCTTAGTTATTATTTTAATTGTAATTTGGCTCTCCTCTTATTTAAATATTATTTTGTTTGGATTTTGATAATATTATTCGTTTAGAAGGCGCGAATTTAAAACAACAATTTGCAAGTGGTTTTAAAATGTTTAGACGTGATGACTTCTAATCATATACTTTACAGAAATTTGTAGAAAAAACATTGAAAACTGTGCCAACTGTTTCCAAAATTGTTAAGTAATCATTAATGCTTGTCATGCATGCAATTTTTTAAAATTGTTTTTCTAAACGTCCAAATATGCGGTGTGGTGGAATAAATGAGTGTCTCACTATAGGATAAAAATAATTAATATTTTTGTTGTGGCAAGGACATTCCAGTAAGAATTTTGAAAGCATGAACAACATAATTTGATTTTTGTTTAGTTCTCCACATCCATCAGAAAACAGTCGAATAGTGTGGATATTATTCATTAAATTAGTGTTTTTTTAAACAATGATAAACAAATTATGCGATTTCATTAGATCCTTTTTTATAATCTGTTTCTAACCGTAAACGTATTTTCTTTTAATTGTTTTGATTTTGATGTACCTTGGCAAACCGTAAAATTGTATACTTACACTTTTCTGGAATAATAGGCACTCTGATCAGGAACTTACCTAGTACCTATACTGACTTTTGTAACTGTGTTCTTGTACACAAGGAACCAATGAATAGGAATTTACTCCGTTTTGCAACAGTATTATATTACTCGGGAGATACTACTTTTTGGTATCCGAATACCAATGAACTTAGTCTGTTTTGCAACTGTATTCAAATTTTAAATTAAAATTTAAACAGGACATTTACATTTAAATACTGCATTTTCATGCTTGAGAATTTGTACAAGAAATCAATAATGTTCAAACAAAAAAAAAAAAAAATGACAAAATATCGATTTTGGTTGAAAATGGACATACGCAGTTCTGCAACTGGACGACTCAATTTCAAAGTATAATTAGTATGAAAAATGTTAGCAAGATTATCACGTACAGTTTTTGTCCTAATATCAAATAATATATATTTTATAACAAAGTGACCAAAATTCAAGCAGTTTTTTTTATAAAGAATTATTTTGATCATCGAAATATTTCAAAAATAATCGATTTAGTGAAAAAAAAAACAAAAGAAGTCGGTGATATTGATGTTGAATTGAAATAACGATATCGATGACGAACCCCAATTATTATATACACATTGAATGTGTGTATAATTACACAATGTTGTATAGAAAAATTTATGTTTTTGAATATCTTAAGTTTTTTTAATTTAATTTGATTTAATTTTTTTGATAATTTCTAAAATTTATTAAACATAATATATAATTTTACTTTATACAAATATATAATGATATTTATTGAATTTATTAGACAAGGCGAAGAATTAGATAGTATTTATATACTTTTGAGTGGAAGATTGCGATCAGTAATAACTCACGAAAATGGAAAAAAAGAGCTGATTGCTGAATATGGGAAAGGGGATATCATTGGCATAGTATATTTTTTTTACCAAAAATACTATTAATAAAACATATTTCTAATTGTTTTAATCATTAGGTCGAAATCAGTACACTTAAGTTTCGGAGTACTACAGTATTAGCTGTTAGAGATTCAGAACTTACAAAAATTCCAAAAGGCTTATTTAATGCCATAAAAATAAGATTTCCCGGAGTTGGATCAACAATTCATAATCATCTCAGTCACGCAATTTTAGGTAAGGCCAACCTGAAAAAATGAATGAATTGAGATCAAAGACGTATTCAAATATTTTGTATGGGGTTCAGAAAGTTTTTAGAACGCAGAATAGTAGAGAGATTGATCTTTCCATTACCCCCGCTACTATGATTTTATGTTCATGAAGGAAGGTCTGAATAGTCTTCAATGGATACCCAACTGATTCAGATAATAACACAGTTTTATCTAAAGTTAAAAATATTTCCGTGTAACGCTGGCAATTTTTTTTTTGCCGTACACTAAATTATAATTAACAGAGTGCATTTGAATTAATTTATTTTATGTATCGTAGTAAACAATTGTAAAACTTAATAGAATATAAATAAATTAAGAAATAATGCGCAAAAATTACTATTGATGCAATTAACATCTTCCAATTTAGAGAAAATCAATTAAAATTGTTTATTTTCCATTTATTTTCATACAAAAATACCTACAATTGGGGCAATTGAATTACGTGGCAGTCATTTCATGCTAAAAAATAATAATAGATGTTTAACATTTGACAGTATTCTATTTGAATTTTTTGCGCTAATTTTTAATGTTTATGGATTTAATACTCAATTATAAGTCAGTTTCTTTAAAACTATAGTGTTACATGTATCATAGTTTTTGATTTTTAAAAGCTTGAATGCCAATATAATCTATTTTTATACACTTTTAGGTACGTGGAAAAAAAACACAGTTAGTAAGACTTTAGATACTCGGCCATCTCGGAACAATTTTTCAAATATAGTGATTTTTCCCTTATTCGAAGAAGTTCCTATAAATAGTTTTACACATGAACTGTTCAATTCACTGTGTTTAATTGGTCCTACTTTAAGATTAAATTCAGAATTCATAAAAAACACTTTAGGATCTAATATCTTTGAATATAGTAATGAATATCGTTTATCTAATTGGTTAGCACACCAAGAAGATCATTACAAAATAGTTTTGTACCAATGTGACAACATGCTTTCTTCGTGGACCCAACGTTGCATTCGGCAAGCCGATTGTATTTTACTTGTTGTCGTCGGAGACAAACCGCCTAATATAGGAAAGGTAAGGAAAGGGTGACCAACGTCCCACTTAAAACGGAATTGTCCCTTTTTTGATAATCATGACCCATTGTCCTGACAAAATACAAACGGGACACTATTTATCCCGTTTTTAGAAAATAGTCCTTCCATACTTATATTATTTAATATTAACTTCATATTATAAAAATTTAATTTCTCAAATAAATATGAAACACTTAATGTTTGAAAACAATATCGAGTGCCCAATGACGATGAACAATAAAATTAGTGATGAGCATATGACAAATTATATGGCACGTGCACTACGTACTATCAATTGCGAATTACTACATTATTTACAAACAATGGTATTAAATAATATGATTTATATTTGTTTAATCTAAATCCGAATGACAAATATTTTCACATTGTCTGGGGTGGTCCTTTCGTTTCGTAGACGTTCATCGGTAATAATTGCTATTTGTTGGTGAACACTGACAGTTGATCATCTCGCGAAGGCGTATTTATGTTTTGGATTTGTTTTATAGTGTCGTACTAATCGATCGTATACTGTAATTGTTTTACTGTGCTAAATTCATTTTTGTTCCAAACCTTAAAGAATAATATTTAATATGCCCAAGAGACGGTGTAGTTTCAATACAACATTGAAGACGCAGTTTTCTTTTTTAAGAGAATTTGATGAAATAGGAAAAGTTTGGTGTACCGTGTGTAAATCTGTATTCTCAGTAGAACATAAAGGGTTATCAGATATCAAACAGAACTTACAAAAAAAAAACATTTATTGGTAGTGTCAAGTAGATCTAAATTGGACAAATTAATGTCATTTATTAAAATTAAAGGGCAATCTAGGCAATCGAATGAAAGCAAACGTATTGGGCAGAGAAGGTATGTTTGCATTTCATACTATTATGCACAACCATTCTTTTCGATGTATGTATTGTACGTCCTCACTTATAAAAAATATTTTTTATAAAAAATTATAATGTACTTGAACGAAATATGAATGATTGTGTCAAAAATAATCGCTCCTTTTGCAATGCAACAAATTTTGGAAGAATAAAAAATATTAAATTTGGAACATTATATAGTAGATACATTAAATTATAAAAATCTAAAACTTTCACCAATAATTATTCAATATTTTAATCCACAAGAGGGAGTAAAAATCGTAGTATTAGAATTTACAAAATCACAAGGTGAAATCGCGGATATTTTGTCTAGTTTTTCGATAACCCCGTTTCTATTGTATGGTTATATTTTATTCAAAGTCAACTGAAAGTAGTGTGTGTTACAATAACGATAATTAAAAGTGACAATACTTTACCGAGTGAAGTATATGAAGAGTTGGATATGGTATGTAAAAAAATAAGGAACAGACAAAATCAAAATTTTTTTATATCAAAATTAGCTTTACTTATTGAAGATTTTAAAGAAAAAATTATTTTATAGAAGAACAGTTGATGATTTTTATAGTATTTTCCTATCTTATGTGGAAAAATGGAGTTGCCATTTTGAACCATTAAACATTTTCGTTGGACTCTGTTTATTTTCGTTAGATATTCTTGCTTGGGCAGACATTCAAGAAAGCATTAAACATTTATTTATTAATAAAAAAATCAACTTGGATTGAAATGTGAACGAGGATAAGTTATTTGATGACTATAATTATGTAGTTCATGTCGTACAAGTTAAAATTATAGAGTGGAAAAATTGTTTTAAAAAGTAATAAAATAGTGGTAATATAATAGAAAAAATAATCAACGATGTCCGATTTTAAACATTTTTTTTTAAATTAAAAAAAATTACGCCCAAACTTTTTTCTACGCTCATAATTTTTATTAGGAATATGATTTTACTTTACGTATGTCATTTTTGTATTAGTTTATGTTGTTTTCAATTTTCAATGATTGCACGGAAGTTTTCTTTCGTCTATGAACCATAATTGAGAATACACCCAAATATTTTCTAGTCATAATATTATTTTTTTGACTACTACTTAATTTACAAGTGGGACTATTTTTCTGGTAATCTGCTTTTGGAGTCATATTACTTTTACACGACAAATATCGTGCTCGGCGTAGTCGGGTACTTCTACCAGAATATAATGGCCTACCTGTAAGGACAGCCCGTATAACCAACCAGGTATAATTCTTTTAGGGAGGAAAGGGTATAATTAACTGTCTCTTTTTTTCCTAAAAATTGTCACCCTAGTATAACGTATGTTTTTAACCTAAAAATCATATTATAAATTATACTTATTTATATAATACAAGATACAAGATCTTGTACAAGAGCTTGAAAATGAAAAGTTCCTTACGAAAAATTTATAATTTTTTATTAGGCGCTTTTTAAAATTAACATATAGTTATATGGAAATTTTAAGTTTTATATAAATTAACTAATTAAAAAATGAATGTTATTACTTAATTTAGGTATTAATACACATGTAGTTCATTTTTAAGTGTATTTATTAAGAATAATTTATTTTTAATTTTATTAGAAATTAGTCCAGGCCACGATTTATAGTTGAATTTATATCTAGATGTACTTTTTGTTGATTTACTTTTGAATCATCACAATTCCATGCTACTGATGTGTCTAGTTTTTTTCTTCTCATTTTTTTAACACAAAAATATAATTACTTAGTTAGAAGTTTAGAATTTTAATATGAATTGTGAATTAATGTTATGTCTTTTTTTGTTTAAAGTATGAAAGAGAACTGGAATACTTAACATCGCGTATACAAAAAGAATTGGTTTTGTTACACAAAGAAGATGTAAAATTGACAAATAATACTGTAGCTTGGTTAAGTATACGAAATTGGATATCTTCTCATCATCATATACGTTGTCCGACTAATTTCTTTTCTGAACTATCAACGGCGCATCTTGTACGCATTAAAGTACCTCATAAGCAATTATAATAATCAAATCACATCTTAAACATATTTATTAGCTTATTGAACATATCTATCTTTAAATATTTCAGCAATTTGTCAGTCTTAGAGTGTTGTATTCCTCGATATAATTAAGTCGAGTATTTTTTGACTATGAGGATATAGTGAAAAAATTTCAATCATAAAGATTTTTTAATTATTAAAAAATCTTGACTATCCCATTATTTTCTGTTGAACTATTGAAACATTAATATGAAAATAGACTATCATCATATATGAGGTTTTCAGAGTTTCGTCCTAAGAAAGATATAAATAAAAAATTTTTTTGCAAAAATCAAAACGAAAAAAGAGTCTGAGATTTCACAATCTAAATCATAATTCTGCGTAATGCAACCTCTGTTACTAGTGAAATACCAAAATAATTCTTTTTCAGTGCACTCTGAAATAACTCGTAGAGCTGTGATAACAATTTTTTCGAAAAAGTATAATAATATTCCTTATTCTTATCATTGCACATGTTATGTACTCAAGAGTGTATTCACATATTTTCCGCCTATAGGCATTTAAAAATTGACGTTATGACGGAGGGGGCTCATTTTTTTATATTTTCGCCATAACACTACTAATTCTTCTTAAAAAAAAAAAGTATTTAAAAATATTTCAAACAAATCAATGTTTATTAATAAATCATAAAATAAATTTCTTGTAACTATTTATATACATATCATAAATACACAATAAATGAAAACGATTATGATAATTATTAAGAAGTCAATATGTTTTAACAACAAAAAAATATAAATTTGTTGGCCTTCAACTATTTGCCGCTATAGGTAGTTGTCTATATTGCCTGCATATAAATACGCCGCTGTATGAACTATTCCCAAATAATTTTTTATAATAGTCGGATTAGAAATTAACCTACTAAAATAGCCTACTAAATTTAAATAATAAATTGTATTTTTAGAAAGAAATATATCAAAATAATGAGGTTGAAGTCAAAATCAACATACATTCAGATTTTTCTCGCCTAGCAAGATGGCTAACAGGTACATCTGTTGGATTAGTTTTAGGAGGTGGTGGTGCGAGAGGCGCTGCTCATATGGGAATGATAAAAGCAATTAAAGTAAGTTGATTATTATAAAGTTATCATTTTATATACCTAAAAATTTTGATAGGAAGCTGGGGTTCCAATTGATATGGTTGGAGGAGTTAGTATAGGTGCATTTATGGGAGCCATACTTTGTAGTGAAAACGATGTTGAAGAAATGATTCGAAAATCTAGATTATGGGCTAAAGTAAAAAAATTAATTTATTATTCAGCTTAGAATAAACAATATTTGTGATAGGCAGAAACAAAAAATATTTAATATCATATCAATTTAGTAACAAATAATACATGTAATTGTTGTATTTATTTATATTATTCTAATTTTTTGTTTCACTATTGCGTATAGTATAATAAATCATTATAACATTTTTTTTCTCTCTAATTCTAATTTTAAAAAATTATTCTTAAAACATTAAATTTTGAGTTACGTGAAAACTACTAATTTTTATAATAATAATTTTTATAATTATTACTTAACAAAATTTGAACTGATAATTGTTCACAATATAAAAAGATAAAATTTTGATAAAAATTATAAAGTGGTATTTGTAAAGGTCACAAAAACCTATCGTGGTATTGCTGAGCAGTTGCGGATAAGAATGTAAATTACTACCTTCATTAATACAGCAAATAATATTCAGTCCCTTCTCCCCTTATAAAGTTTTAGTCACAAGTACTAGATCAAAGAATGAACTTTGAAAATATTTTAATTAATACCCACTTTTAGAGTCTCAGTAATGTGATTCACTGTACCATACCAATTTCCTTACTTATTTAAATTAATAATAAAATAGTCCTTTGTTTTGCATTGTAAAAATTGCAGACCATGACATATTGGTGGAGATTTTTAATGGATTTAACTTATCCTTTAACATCATTATTCACTGGTCGCTATTTTAATTTTACTTTGATGTCTATATTTGGAGATACACAAATTGAAGATTTGTGGTTACCATATTTTACAGTTACGGCAGATATTACTGCTAGTGAAATGAGAATACACACACACGGTACTGTAAAAATGTTTATTAATTTAATCATCAAATCTAAATAAATTATTCTGAATAAATTATTCAGTATTTTAAATATTATCTGAACAATATTAAATAGGATCATTGTGGCGTTATGTCCGATCATCAATGTCTCAGTCCTGGTACTTGCCTCCGTTGTGTGATCCAATTGATGGACATTTATTACTAGATGGTGGTTACATAAATAATTTACCTGGTAAATTAACTTATTAAAGGGATAACTATTTAATTATATATTAAATTTATTGGACAAATTTTAAAATATATAGGAGAATCTTGTATTATTTTAAGTTTTTCGGATGGAACAATGATATATTTTTATAAAACAATATATTAAAACTGTAATTTAGACATATTAATACATTTTCCAATAGTGAGCTATTCATTTACGTCAATTTGCTATTTTTTTATAGCGTAGACTATTATGTTTAAAATAACATCCAAATATTTCTTGGTGTACGTTAATTTTGCTGTTACTATTTTAATTATCCTCATCATAATTTAAAAATGCTTATTTTTAACATTTCTTAATCAATAAGCGTCAATAGAGCGAGGGCTAGGGACTCAGTCTACTAGCTAAAGAACTAGTAAACATTTCGAAAATTATAAATAGATTATATAAAAATATTTATAGGGCGATGAAAAAAATTACTTTAGCAACCTCAGAAATTATTTTATTTTAAATTCGCCTATGATCCTTGTTCTGTTATGTTTCTTAATTATATACATATTTTTAATGTACCTAATATTTTGATGTATGTACTTTACATTAAAAATTAATTCACGTTAAAAAGCATATATATATATTTGTCACTTAATAATTAAAAAAAACTATTAAATTAATTCAAATCTAATTTGTATAGCTGATGTTATGAGAAGCTTAGGAGCAAAATATATTCTTGCGATAGATGTAGGAGCTCAAGATAATGTAAATTTTACTAACTATAAGGATAGTTTACAAGGTTTTTGGTTATTATGGAAAAAAATTAACCCTTTTTCTAAACCAATTAAAGTTCCTAGCATTGCAGATATTCATTCCAGATTAGCTTATGTTTCTTGCGTTCGACAACTTGAAGTGAGCACCATTTAAAGATTTAATGAATTTTGATTAATAGACTCTAAATTAAACAAATTTTTTTACATTATTCAATATGATATATAATATAATAAAAATATAAGTTATATATTTTTTAACAAAGGTGGTAAAAAATAGTGATTACTGTCAATATATAAGGCCACCTATTGATAAATACACAACACTTCAGTTTGCAAGTTTTGATGAAATTAAGGTAATATAAAAAATATATTATATGCATAAAAAAAAACATTATAATTAAATGGCAAATTGGTAATATAACCAGCATGTATTATTTTTAACTAAAATGTGACCTTGGTCAATGTTTAGAAGATGGCTTGAGGTTGTTAAGTAGTATGGACCAGTTCAGGCTGGACATATGACCTGAATTTAGACTGGTCCAAATGTCACGTCGGGCTACTATTTTATGTTTTGGATCGGACCAGGCCAAGCTTAATTTAAAATGAAGCGAGCTGGGTCGGATTGAGTCCGATCAAACATTGATATTGAATCGTTTATATTTGTGCAAATTAAAAAAAAAAAATCAAATAAACGATTATTTTCTTTCAGATTATAATTTAATATACAAAACATAAATAGTTAAAAACTTTTAATTACAATTGTATTATTTTTTGATTATATCAGATCAGATTGGACTTGATCTATATTTTTTTTTTGGATCAGGTCGACTCGGTCCTAAACTTTACATTTATATTGGAATTAGACTGATTTTTTTAAGGCCCAATCTGATCTCTGCTAAGTAGAGATGTTTGGAATACTTAAAAAGAAATCGAGTACTCGGCTTCTTTTTAGCACATGACTTTTATTTGGTATTTGGTTATGAGCATATTTATACTCGGCATTTACTTGATACTCAATTTGTACTTACATTAACTACACAGAATATAATTATTGCTACGTTATTTTAAAATGCGCTATAACATATAGCGCAATATAATTATTCTGAATCCTATAGATATAATATGTAATGTACAGAAATATGTAATTATCTGGAGGTCTATTTTTTAATCGCCGTTCGTCAAACGAATTCTATTATTCTATTAGTTATACGCTTTTTAGGTTTGTTCGGTGAACGTTTATGTTTCACGATTGTTTGCAATTTATTGCAATTTAACAAATAAATATTTTGAATTTTACATTTATATGACTTGATTTTTAATATTAAAATATTTATTTTTAGTTAATATATTACTTTTTAAAAACAATAATTTATTACTAACACATACATTTTTAATTTGTTAATTTAATTCACTTTATGTAAATTTAGCTTAAGTAATTCTCCAAAATTATATAAATAATTTAATTACACAAATTCTAAAAAAAAATATATGTACAATTGCATACATGTTAAATTGAAAAATTATTAATGCACTTTAAACTTTTAAAAATAAAGTGCTACATTTATTTTATATTATAATTTTATTTTATTTATTTATTTTTATATTATTAATTAATATAATAATTACATGAATACGATGTTAATTTAAAATTATATTAGAGGTACATATGTTTACATTAAAGGTAAGTATAAGGATCAAATCTTCTTATTGTTCTAAATGGTCATCCGTTCGATATTTCATTCGTTACGAACAACGTTCGCGATATAAACTTAAATAAAATAAAATCTGAATGTATACGTTCTTGAACGGACGATTCAAAAATAGACCCCCTGAAGTGCTTGCAGAGTTAAATAGCGTTTAGACCGTATGTATTGTATTAGGCTGACCGTGAATATCTAAAATATATGTGTGCAGTTTCTATTCTTGTCAATATTGTTGTGTTACTGAGTTAACGCCCTAAAGTCAAGTTGGCAGTTTATGTTAATTATAAGAACAAAGATATGAGCACTATACAGAGTGATTTTTTTATCATAACCCGATCAATTACTTACAGAATAAATATAATTTAACATTTTTTTTCTTGGTTATCTTTAGTTACACATTATTCTTGAATTATTAACTATGTGATACTTTTTAAGTTCATCCCTTATACGTTGTAAGGGTGTCAACTTTGTTTTTTTAAATGGGAACATGGAATATTTTGAATTTAACAAAATGTTTGAGTTTTTAAGTTATACACAATATAGAAAGTCTGTCTATTGATAGCCTTAATTTACAATAAACACTCTGTGTCTGCAACAACGATATAATAAAAAACCGATTAGCTACCTATTTGTAAACCCCTTGTGTATTATACACGTATATTAACTCAAAAATTTGAAACTTTAAATGTTTAAATCTAATAAACGATTAAAGAGTTATATTAAAATTCAAATACCATTTAATATTACATTAAAACTCAAATATAGTTAATAATTCAAGAATAATGTATAATTAAAGATAACCAAGAAAAAAAAATGTTTAAATTATTTTTATTCTGTAAGTAATTGAGTGGGTTATGATAAAAAAAATCGCCCTGTATGTGATCGTATCAATATATATATATTAGCAATATGTTATATATTGATTAATATGATAGATTGACTAAAAATTTTTTACTTATCCATAATTTTTGGTTGTTTTAAAATGATCTCTTATTTATATAATTTCTCTGAGCTATATTATTTTATGTACACTGTCACAATTTGGATTTGGATGACTCTAGACATTTATTTGATGTTATAATTTGAATAAAATTTTTAGATAAACTTTGTTTATACAGAATTTATTTTTATAGGATGTTGGTTATCTACATGGAAAAAAATATTTTTTAGACTTGGAAGTCGCTGGAATTATTCCAATTCAGAAACAATAAAAATATATTATATCTTTAAATCATAATGTGATGTAAATATATTTGTACGTCATAATTATATCAAAATATAATGGTTGCTAGGACAATTAATATATAGAGCCATATGATACCATCATATGTTACTTTATATAAATGTTAGATTATTTGTATCATTTCTTTTTAACTTCTAAAACTCCTAATTTTTAAATATAATTTAAAAAAAAACAAATTATTTGAGTCAGAATTTAATACAAAAAATTTGTATATAAAATTTGGTAAAAGGTCTAATATGATAGAAGGACAAATAGAATTGAAGAGTAGAACTTGAAATTGGAAAAAATGGTACATTCATATCATACCAGTATTTGGTGATTTTTTTAAATAATAAAAATTGATGAAAGGGATAACAGGATTTTACAATTAAGTGTCAGGAATAATAGAATTCGACATTAAAAATACATACATGAATAATCACATGCAAGTTCGATTTATTGTCCAAAATTTTAAGAAAAATAACAATACAGACAATTTTTAGGATGTATAAGTGACCGCCTCAAATTTTTCAAATGTAAACAATGAAGAGAAATAACTATAATTATTACATGTTACTTGAAATATTTATATATTACTGTTCGGGTGGTTCCTTAACTAATTAAAGAATATCGCTTTGTGACTTTACGATAAAAGAACTTATAGTAGATTAAAAAGACATATAACTAAATTAGGATACTCATAGTTATATTTCCATAAGAATCATAGATTTAAATAATAATATAACTGATTACTATGGTTAATAAATTGTCTTAAATTCTAATTTTATACAGCGTTAATAAATATATAAGTATGATATAAATATGTACAATTATAATCATGACCTAAACCATTGAGTTGAAAAAATATCAGGCGATAGCGTCTTTTAAATATGAAATAAATTCAGTGGATACATGCAACTTGGTGGATACGACGTAGTATATAAAACGTATCAGCCATGCAGTTTATACAAAGTATTGAATAAAAATTATGTTTTATAACATGTAATAGACACGAAGAAAGTGAAAACTTGTATGTTACACGATCGATAAAAAAATTAATAAATACTTTCTGTTAATAAACAATTTACTGAATATAAATTTACATTGGGTGGTTGCATTTATAAATAAAACATAAATTGCAACGTGAGCAACTTAATATATCAGCGAACAAAGGGTAGAAATCATTTTACTTTTAATTATTAGCAATGGTTATTGACTCCAAAGTTTGTTCAAAACAACGCTATTAAATATATGAATCTGTATGTATATTAAAAATAAATGTAATGTACTTATTTCAGCAACAATTACTTTATTAATTTTTTTTATAAATATTAGATATAAGTAGGCAAATTATAAATGTAGACTTTATGTTATAGACCAAATAAAGTAAACTAAATGTTATTAGACCAAAAAAAGGATGTCTTGACTGTAAACTTGAAAATAGTTGACGATTAGACCATATACTGTTAAATTAATTTTTGTTTATTGGTCAAAAAGTCTCGTATTCTTTTTGTTCATTCGTTTAGAAAGTGTTAGTATAGCTGAATATTAAAAAAAAAAGTTACAAAAAATCAAAAATATTTTAGTAAAAATTATTATATTATTTGATAATGTAGTAATTAAATTTTCGTAAAGCAGTTTGACATTTAAAAATAAGATCCCTCCACACTCTTATCACTTAACAAATAATAAAATTTATCAAAATAATTATTTTTCCATGAAAAGAGGTTTTACTTCCATGGTTAACCTCATGTATTTTTTACAATATACATATTGAAAGTGTAGTATCGAATTCCTCAAGATTCACTATTCTACAATCGTAAACTTGTGGCGTGTTTTTTAGATTAAAAGCTGACTTGTAACCGGTAAATTGTCATTTTGCAATTATTGTTGAAAACATGGCTGGTAGAAGTGTGTTTAATGATTTCGACAGCAGGTAATGTTATTTTTCATTTTTCACTATAATTAAATAAAAATTTTGATAGATATACATAAACGTGTTTGATGTTCCTTAACTTTTCCCATATTTTTCAATGATATTGTTTAAAATAACTATGGGTTTAATTAATTCTTTTTGTGCATTTTTTAAAATAATACTGAAAACTAAGAAGGTTTATATTTTACATTGATTTGGGATTTTTATAAATCACTAATTGCACATATTATTGTATATGATAATACACAAGAAAGATAATAGTATAGACTTGTTTAATAAATTACAATTATAATTGTTATACTTGGTATTCTATTATTACTTTATTGTTATTCTAGAATAACATATTTTATTCGAATGTTTAAATCCAATATCAAACAATATAATTTAAATCATGCAGTTGATAGTTTAATAATGTTATAATATACATTGTTTGAGTTGGGATCTAAAAATCTCAATAATGATTATGAAAATATTTTAAATTTTTATTTGACTTAAAAGCATGACGAGATAAGTATTTTTGTAATTATTTATAGTTAATTATCAATTAAACAAATCAAATCCATACGATTATAAATGTGATTTTCATTTGATTTAGAAATATGAATAAACCATTGCCGACAAGTCCACCTTATGTGGCATATCTTGGAAATTTACCACAAGGAATAACACAAGGAGATGTTGAAAATATATTTTCACCTAATCAGGTTTGTTATTTCAGTTAATTATTAATTCAGTTAATTTTTAGTTAATTATTAAATTTTTAATAACTCAATTATTTTAGCTAACAATTAGAAATATAAGATTAGTCCATGATAAAGAGACTGATGTTTTTAAAGGATTTGGCTATGTTGAGTTTGTTTCCCTAGAGCATCTTAGTGAAGCATTGCAAATGGAAGTTTTTATTGAAGGACAGAAAATAAAAATTGATGTTGCTTCTGGAAAACGAAATGAAAGATCAGGATTTGATAGACAAAATAGAGGTGGTAGAGGTAATTTATATTTTTGATAGAATATAATATCTGTCATTTTGTGTATTTTAACTTGTCTCAGATTATTAACTGTCAAATAAATAATTAAAGCTTGGCTTTTAACTTGAAAAAATAATTTTAAAAATCCTTTAAATAATAATTTTTACTTTGTTTTATGAGTAGAACTATTTTTTTTATTCTTAATTTATGAGATTATTATTTTAAACAATATTTAAAATATTTTTCTAATAAATTACAAATGTTGAAAGTTATTTATTTATTAGTTTGGCTTCAAATTAAAGAACATAAATAATTGTTCACTTAAAATAAGAAAACTTCTTTTCAACCTAATTAAGATAAAATTTTTATTTAAATATACTTAGTATAATATTTGTTGCTAATGGCCCAACTACCATAATGTAGATCAATAAAATAAAAAAATTGTATTATGTTATAATTTTCTGTATGTTATATATTTATATAAATTATTTGAAAAGAATTTTTTTTTTCTTATAGGTCATCCAGGAAGTTTTAATAACAACCCGGGAATGCGAAGTCGATCTGATGATTTCACACAAAATGCAGGTTGGTAGCTTTATTAATATTTGTTGTTTTTTGCTTTTAAATAAATAATATAAGTACAACATAAAGCTGTTTGATTCAGTACCTGTCACTCTCATAGTCACACATTACATTATTATCCAATTTAAATTGTGTAAGAGTTTGAATTGTATGAAATTTAATAAAGTTGCCTAATAAGGTAATAAAAAGTAGGGCCTGGAATTAAATTAATTTTTTAATTTTGTCCAGTTATTCCAAAACATACCATTAATTAGTACAACAAAATTTATAAAAGCATATAATTCTGGTTCTAGTAAAAAATTCAAATTCTGATCCATACTTTTTTTTTTTAGCGACATTTTTTGATACATTTTAAAGTTTGTCATACTGTGACAGCATTGTCATGATTGAAATTTTGCAAGTTTTAAACAGTGAAACATTCTTAATATACTGTTACTCTAAAAGTGTTTGTTTGGATTGAAATATTTACGGATATCTACGTCTTCAGTTATTAGCAACAATTCTGAAACATCAACTAATAATTGAAAATGTGGATAGATCTATAAACATTTCAAGTAGTACAGCAATCCATAAGAGCTTAACACATTCAAATGTGTTTGTTTTGTATAATAAATTATGAATATGGATTAATCTTATATATTGTATGATAAACAATAATAGCTATTGATAAACTAATGTCACTTGCTGAATTGCTTACCATAATTGAATAATTAGATTTTATTAATAGAATTCAATGATTATTTGTTAATGCTGTTCACAAACTGAAATAATTTGCAGAGAAAACTTAATGAGAATTCTTAAGAATAATTTTTTCATATTAAATTATTTTATACTAAAATTATGCTAAGATAAAAGATTAAAGGTAATTTAATATTATTATTTTTTATTTAGAAAATGTTTGTTAATTTTATTAATTTATTATATTGATCATTCCAGCACTTTTTAACTAAAATCTTTTTATTTTTATCTTAAAATAAAAGATTATTTAATAGTGTTCTAATTATTAAAATATTTGATAAAATATCTTGAGTTTAAACTAATTCAATGATTATGTTTTAATGCTGTTCACAAACTGAATTGATTTGTTGATTATTTTTTTATGAGAATATAGTAATTAATTGGGAATTATTTCGAAATACTATTGTGGATTTTTTCCAAGTACCAAATGTTTTCGGCTTTTAGTAAGTCTTAGATATTTAAAATAGAAATACTTTTTATATTATAATCAAGTATTCAAAACAATATTTTTTTAAAAACAAATGTGACAATCAATTTTGATTATTGTGATATTATTTATTAATATATGAATTTTTGGTATTTTATAAAATATATAAAAAAGTTTATAAATATTAATTGATTTCTGATCGATGAATTTATGGGTATTGAAACAATATTTGTTTTCGTTTTTGAATAAAAATATTGCTCCAGATGCTTATGAATAACTTATCTAACTTTTTTATGTATACATGTTAAAAAAAAATTCTATAACAATCAGAATTGTTAGTTAGTTTTATTGCACAAAATGTAATAAAAAAATCAATTCCTGATTAATATTCCTTTATCTTAACTTAACTATCCTTGATTTTTTAAACTAACTTTTATTGATAAATTAGAAAACATTTTATTTGTTCTATGATTATTTAAATGCTGTTCACAAACTGAAATTTTATGTTGAACAAATTTTAATTTATGAGAAAACCGACCAAAATAGTTAAGAGATTTTTACACTAAAACCTTTTACTTTACTTAAATATTTAAAATTATGAATTAATTTGAAAAAATTAATTTTATTTTATATTATAACAATTCTTATACTTTTATTAAAGGATTTGGAAACAATTTCCGTAATCAAAATGGAATGGGTGGTCGAAGTAATTTTATGGATCAAGCTGGTGGCAACCGTGGAATGAACAGGTATCCAGATAATGGATCAAGAGATTTCAATCGGCAAAATGCACCACAATTTCCTGGAAGTCGTGAGCGTAGATCAGAATTTGATAGCTTACCAGCTCCACCACCTAGTAAGAATTCTATAATACTTTATTATTTTTATAAGTACGCTTATTTATTTTAAGAGCTTCATTTGAAGAAACAAGAAACAATTTTATAATACTATTAACTATGATATTAAATTGCATTTTAAAGTAGGGGGTATATTTAAAAGACTTATTTTTTGTCTCCCTTCTGGAAATGTTTAGAAAGTCGGGTAATTTAAAAATTAAGAAAATGTAATAACCCTGTACATTTTTTTAGTAGTTAATATAAATATTTGAATATTATATGAAATATTATTTATGTGAAAATAAATTACTAATTAAACACTTAACTATTTTCAGCTGATCCTGGTAGGCCAAAATTGCAATTGAAACCAAGAACTATTAAAGAGCCATTAAATCAAATGGCTGAAACAACCCAACATTCAACTATATTTGGGGCAGCCAAACCTCGGGAAGAGAAACCTCTTCCTGATGTTGTAAAAAAGACATCACCTCATTAATAATGTTTTTGCCACTTCAACATTCTAATGGACATTTCTTTTCTATTTCTGAGAACTTGTGTTTTTTTACATTTTATCTTTTTTTTTTTTTTTTTTTTTCTTTTTTTTTTACATATTGCAATAAAGCTATTTATATGTACTGTGGCAATAAGAATTCCTTCACAGAAATTGTAACTTTTGAAATTTTAACTTCTGTGCTCTGTATGTATAATTTTCACTTTAAGTATGTATTTATATATATGTACAAAATAAGTACATTTTATACATTTAACTGTACTCGTATAGTTAATAGTTTTATTTATATAAGTGATAAATTTAGGTATATTTGCATAATTATTATTTGTAGTTATTAGGTAGGTTTTCGTTTATATTAATATACTTATATTAAGTTATTTGTATAAAATACTAATTATAATTTACTAAACAACATTATAGTACGTCTTCATAAACAAAATTGTTTACAATTAAATACAGTTATTTATTCCAATCATAACAACCATGTGTTTTTAATTTATGACCATTTTTTTTATTCATTAGTTTTTGTACTAATATTTTATCTTTATTTAATTTAAAAAATTGTACAATATTCAAAAAACTAATCATACAGTATAAATCAAACATCTTTATGTAAATAAAACAAGGTTGAAGTACATGAATGTATATTTTATTAATAATTTTTACCTTTTACAAAAAAAAAAAAATGAAAGTATTTTGTAACACTGATTTATTTAGAAAAATGTAATATAATATTCTATAATGTCAAAAAGTAAACTTCAACATAAATAATTATATTTATTATTTATGATAAATGTATAGCTTAAACAGTAGAGGAACTATCAGATATTAATCTATTTCATTAAATAAATGATTTCTACTTGGTAGTAGATAATATAAAATTTCGGAGTGAAGCAGAATAAAAATTCATTATAACTATTTGAGATTATTATCTCAAAAATTTCAGGTTGCACGTTATTGGTATAGTACATTTGTTTAGTTTAGTTCTTTGGTAAAGGATTTGATCTCGACATCTCTAAATGCGTCTCTAATAGTTAATATAAAAAATTTTTAAAACATTGATTTACAATAATTATAAATAAGCAAATAAAATAATAACAATAGAAAAATAACGAAACAATTAATCATGTGATTTTTTAATTACATACTGTATCTTTTGAAATTTTAACTTAATATCATGTAGAAGCACATTTTCATAACCTGCAATAAAGTAAAGTTTCCAAGTAGGTATTTTAGAAAAGATCACCACCCCCTTAATATGCTGCCAGTAAAAATAGTTTAAAATGTATGGTTGGCTCTTTTTATAATTCTGGCTACAGCTCTTAACATTCTTCAATATTATATTATAAAACATGTTTTGCTATCTACTCAAAATTGTATTTTTAAAACGTAATTATTTGTAACGAGAAGGTTTGAACCACTACTATTCGGGCATGCCTTTGATAGAAATGTATACTCGCACATCAAAAATTAATCAATAATAAATGAAAACTATCGCCAGTCGAAACTCAACACGAAATGATCGGTGAATATGTATATTAATGTTTATTATTTCTTATACTATATGTATACATTTTTACTAAAATGATTTTTTTTTATTTTTCCTTGCTTTTAATGATGTGGAAATACTATTTAAAAGTATGAATTACGAGTAAAATGCCAAAAATTGAGCTTGAAATTTGATATGAAAATTGTCACAAGCCTAGTGAGAATTTTCAAGAACAAGGCTGCATTTGTTTTACCAGTGACTTATTTATGGGCAGCGTCAGAATAATATGACAAACTCCTGGAAAAAGTGATATACATAATTTTTTTTTCATGTATCTTTTCTAATTATGTATTGGCGTACAAACATTGATTGACATAAACTAGAATACTTATAAAATATAATAGATAATAATTATTATATTATTATCATAATTATCTTCTAATATATTTTATTAAACTGAAGTAAGCATTTAATTAAATGACGTGCAAAAATTAAAACTATCAAATCATATATTGTGACATCTCTCTTAATAAAATACACGTACACCACTGTGATTTCCAGTGTCTCTAGCGACAATAAGAATATACTAGTCTTTTAATAAGTGTATGAACTTGTGAATTTAATGCAATGAATTTTTTTGTTTTAGAGTGACGAGAAAAAAAATGTTATTATCTTTCATAGAGTGGAAAATTTTGTACTCTGAACGGTACAATTTATAAATACAGCCTGAGTAAGAGTTTAATATTGAAATGATTAGTTTGGTTTTATGATCTCCAATAAATCCGATTTTGTATTTGCATACTTATAAGTTATGATCTCTAATGAGTTAAAAACTTAAGTAAGATAAACAAAAATCTTCTTTTGTTTCTATGTAATTAAACAAGTAGGTTAAAATGTGATTCGAAATATCATTTCATATATCACTGGTTTGAATCATATTTATTATAAATATATGGTTTGGAGAAATGGTTGTTTACGTGACTCTAAAGGTTTAAATGCTTGTCTGTAAACCGAAGTTAATCGCCAGTGTTCTGGGTAATCTCTACCTGTAGTCCCAGGCCACATAGAAAATGGAGGGAGCAACGTTCCTATCACATATTTTTTTTTATCCGAATTTGTTGTTTTAGGTCTGGGTACTTTTAAATGTTTTTTGGTAAGTTTGTGTTGTTGACTCATCAAAGGTTGAGGAATGCCGGCTTTAAATGCCATTTTGTATTTATTTATTTGCTCTTGAAACTTTGGTTGTTGTTTTACTGGTTGAAGATCACAAGCTACACACGGTCTGTAATGCTTTTTATCATCACCTGAAATTTTATTTTCTATGTCTCCACGTTCTGAAATTTGATCTAATTCTTGTTTATCCACAGCTTCTTTTTGATGAGAGAATAATTGTGGTATAGTTGAAACTGCAGTTTCTTCTTTAAATTTTTTTCCAATATTTATGTTGGGACTCGATATTTTCAATAAAGTTTGACCCGCTTTGTCGTCTGTCATAATTGGCGTTTGATCAACTGCGAATTCATTGTTTGAAGTTAAAATTTGTTTTTTTGGTATTAAATCCATAACAGCTGAAAGGTTTTTTCCTTTCATTTGCTGTATGTTGTTGTTGGATTCTTTTTCAAGTTTTTTTAAATCACTAGGTTTTTCTTTAATCAGACCCATAATGGCTGAAAAATTCGATTCTAATGGCTTGTTCATTTGATTCTCGGCTGCTTCCTTCCGTAAAATTTTTTGAAATACTGCTGGTTTATCGACAGATTGTGGCCTATCGAATGGTGCGTCCAGATCCCAACATAAGGCTAGCTTTATATCTGTTATTGGTCGGCCACAGACTAAAGGCACACTGGTTTTAGGTCGGTCGTCTCTTGAATTCTGTTGGTTCTTATGTTTAACATCAGATGAAGATTTTGGTCTGAAAACTTTTAGTTTACTACACTGTGTGGGTCCCGGATCATTGAAAGACTTATATGCAACTGCAGAACATTTAGGCCAAAAATCGTTGAGACCCAATCCAGGATGTTTATCTCTTTTCATTTGAAGTGACCTATATAAAGCATCTTCAATTGTGTCTGGAAGACGATGGTGTTTTTTATTATCAAATTCGTATTGGTCTGTAATATTCCTATTTTGCCCTATGCTTATATGACTTAACGATGGACTTGATTGCGCTCTAGGTAACACGTGATTATTAGGCAAAGTTGAGTTCAATTGTTCTGTTTTATGTCGCGATTTATTTGAACTTGAAGTTTTCCGCGATACCGATGAATTCTGAAAAAATATTAAAATTATCAAACACATTAATGAACTTTTAAATAATTTTAATATCATCTTAATAATCTTTACAAAAATTATACAATATTTACAAGAAAGGACTTTATGATCGAAAGACAAATTCTCTATATTTTTAAGTTTTATATATGATTATTTTAATACCATTTCAAGATACATTAAGTTAATGAGGATGGTTCAAATATTGAATTTAAAGTAATGTATTCATTTAAATGTTGAATATTTTCGTACTTGTTTCTCTAATGAAGAAAATTTCTTAATCTAAAAATATTTTTTGATTATGAAGTTAGTTAAAACTCAGTTATATTACTTTTTAGTTCCATGTTCCATTGATAAACAATCCCTTCAAATTATCATTAATATACATTCAGTGCAATTTTTAATTTTCACATTTTTTTTTATTTTGAGATTTAATTCAGTTCATTAACTAATCTTGATGTAGTAATAATATGAATATTTTTTTTTAAGAAATTTTATTTTTATTTTTACGATCAACACATTTAAACGATGAATCTTTTTAACTGGAATATCTTAACTTAATGAAAAAAGTATAATACTGCCTATTGTGTTAATAATAAATGTCTATTAATTTTTTTAGAAATAATAATATATCAACTATAAAAGACTTTTNTATTGTGTTAATAATAAATGTCTATTAATTTTTTTAGAAATAATAATATATCAACTATAAAAGACTTTTTTATTAATTATAAATTCACTTGCTTTATATCATTATATTTTATTATTCAGTAATTGGTACATATTTTTTAGTAATTTAAAATAAAAAAAAAATTATTGATTGTGTCACATTTAAACATGACTTACAACAGTTTTGCTGCTTTTTATAGACTCTTTATCTTCTTCTTCATTTGTTGTTTTTCCTTTGTCTATAAAATCGTCGTCTGAGTAGCATTTATTTTCAACTTCTTTTTTATGACGATCAATAATTGGTTGATGGTAGGAACGCTTCATGTAAGATTTCATGGTCTTTGGGTTTGTGAGTTCTTCAGCTTATTTAGTAAATTAGTTATAATTTTTAAATTAATAAAAAAATATGTTTGAATAATTTTAACTTTACCTATTTCTCTAGTTATGCGTTTGGGTAATTGATATGTTCCTAAATATAGTCCAGCCCAATGTTTTTGATCAACTTTTTGCACGCCAGGCAATAGATGCCCTTTATCGTTCACGATTATTTTTGTTACAGTTGAACGCCCTTTTGGTCGATTCAAATGCCATTTAGGAACTTCCCAATTGCCTAATCTTGTTGGCTTATAAGCTTTTTCAAACTGAAAACCATTTCAATATGCTTAATAGAAAATCACATGTATAGAGCGATTGTTTTATCGTTTACTACTAAATTTCTCCTAATATAATAATAATTTTAAGAATTGTTTTTTTTGGCTTATTTAAGTAGACTTTATTTTTTTTTTATAAGTAGTTAAATCTATTTAAGGTCTATCCATTACCCCTTATAAAGGTATCAACTTTATTTTTTTTAATGTATACTTTAATTGATATAATGTTAGAAAATTATACAATTAAGATAATGATGGCTCGATAACAACTTTTGAAGTATTATTTCGGAATTTATTAATATTTTTAAATGTAGACTGGATGTGAGATGTGGTTTATGTTATTTTACATAACCCAAAATAATAACATAAATTATTATTTTAGAATAAATTGTGTATGTAAAATTAACGTATTTATTATAAACATGGAATTTTCAAATACTTTGTACTTTAAGGCAATAAATTTGATTTTCAAGATCTAGATTTCATTATTTTTCTACTTGTCATCAATTAATTAATTATTATAAATTTTATCCTAAGACTAAAACTAAAGTAATGCTAATAAGTTTCATCCTTTAAAGTATTATTTGCAGTGGAATGAATCAAATATTTAAAATTTTATAAAACTAGTAATACAATATTTGATATTTTGGTTATTATCGTCTATATCAAAAGAAGCAGCGTAGATGTATAACATTATAATTGATAAATCTAAAGAGAAATCATATTATTTCCTGTATAAGTGTGAGCTATACAATCACACTACAGAAATAAAAAAGTCATCCCTTCGAATGAATTGTGCAGTACACACGGTTGCTGTTGGAACACTACAGTAATCCCATCCCACGTGAACCAGTATTATAATTATAATAACAATAATAATTATACCAGTCACCCTTAAACACGACCAGTCGGTTGCTCCCCTTGACAATGATAAACCACCGTTGTAGAAGTTATTCCAGACCAAATTGTTAGCAAACAAGGGATTAGTATTCATATCTTTTTTTTATTGAATTTAATGAATATGTGTTCATAAATTATGAATTTAAAATCATTTGAAAAAATGATAAGAAATTTTGAATATTAAAATATTACATATAATGCAGATATCAGATCACCATAAATTTTATAAAATCATAGTTCACATTCATGTTCAAAATAATTTTATTATTATTATTTTTTAAAACCTGTGAAATGTAATTGGAATTTTGTTGATGTTAATATGATTTAAATACTCTTGACACTTGATACAATATGAGATAAATTATGGATTACTATAATTATTTGGTCAATATGTATTGCACATGCATATTGTGTTTGTTGAAAAAGCTTGCAACCCTATTGTGAACAACATTTGAGCACGTGTAGAAACCAAAACGAAAAATGTAACCCTCTTGGTGGGCGTTCAGTAATATATCAGTCAAGTCTCAACTTGTCATTTATTAATCTACAAATATTTCTATTGATGTTTTCTTGTATACAAATAATAGATTTTTAATTAGGTAATAGATTTCAGAAATATTTTTAAAATCTATTCTATTTATTTATAATTTTTTATAATAGTTTTTTTTGAAAATCAATTTGAACAGCAATCAAAACAAAAAAATCCTTATTGATTTTTTTATAAATTGATTAGTCTATAAAAAAATGAATCTATTATATGCACCTGCACTAAAAATGAGATACTATAAAGATAGGCCGGTCATTGGGATTATATAGATTTTTATAATTTATAGTTTGTCACTGAATGGAGAAAGTGCAAAGGGGGTTGATTAATGACCAAGAGGGATTACATTATCCCTATAAAGCTAACATGTTGTTGGGATAATAATGTTTGTATATTTTTTAGATAGTTTAAAAAATATTGGATATAAAAAATTTAACTTAGGGTCCATATGATTATTTAGTTTTAAGTAAACAATACATTAGAACGTAATTTAAGTATACACTTTGCATTAGTTTAAATAATGTACAAGTAAAACAACAAGAAAACAATAATAAAATGTGTAAGATTTAATAATTCATTCAGTCTCTCTAATTTAACTCTAATAGCAAATAGTAAACTGATTATTTTTGTTAAACTTAAAATATTAAAACAAATTGTGATAAAAATCATGTACACTAAATTTTTGAAAATTTGTTTTAAGTTTAAAATGAAAAAAAATCTAAAAAGAATTATTAACAAAAAAAGAAAATGACATATTATTTTAAAAAAAACTCAAGTAATATGATATTAATAGAAAACTTACTTGGTTACATGTATAATTCATTGACATATTAGTAAAAAAGAATGATTACGGTGGTATTTTATTAAATAAAACTATAAACTGGCTAACAAATAATAAAATAGTATTAAAAACAAAATTATTAACAAAAATTGTACTATGTTGTATTATCAATAGTGTGTCTTCAAAAGCTATCGCGTGTACGTTTGTTTCTTGTTACTATGGACAACATGAACTAGTATACTGTCTTAATTTAATCAATTTGCAAGTACAATCTTGGCCAATGTGTAGATAAAATATAACTAAATCAACATTAAATTATAATACAATAATGCTTTGATGTATTTTTAAAAATTAAAATTTTACATACATATTATATATTTTGTTACAGGGGCGTAGATAAAAAGAGTTTTAGTGTTTAAAACCCAAATAAAACTTAATCCTTATAATAAAATTACATTAAAAATAATAATATTCTTAATACATATAATGTACCATAACTATGCCAATACGAATCCAAATATAGTTCTGTAAGATATGTTTTACTAAAAATTATATTCAAAAAAGCTAAGTTTCTCAAAAATATTTCAATGATTTTTTAAATTGTAAATTTTAAACTTTGTATATAAGTGTTATACGTACCTTTAGTGAAAGATATTGTATATCAATATAAAAAAAGAGTATTGTTCCGTAAATATTAAATATATAACAAATTGTGTTGTTGACTAATACTCGATAAATTTTACAGCTGGGTGACATTTTGGTTATTTCATGACTATTATTTAATTTGTTTATACGAATTTCTTTAATTTATTTGAACATATTAAATAATGAAGTTATATATAAAAAAAGAATATGTCGCCACTTAAAAATTCCATAAAATGTTTTTTAATAATATTAAAGAAAAAAAAACACTTAAGATTTCTAGCACCTGCTTATTTTTTACACTATCATAAAATAGGTCAGCTAAAAAAAATGTGTACAATTTGATTAAATATTTAAATATTTGATTTTATAAAATATAATTAATTGATTTTTGCTTTAGCTTCAATGCGAGTCTGAGAAGGTATTATTTTTACTATTTTGTAATTTTTGTATGTCTGTTGCCACTTTTTTCAGCTACCGTTTTTTTTCATCGATATATCAAAAGATCACAAATCGTATCTAGTTGAAAACTTTGCCCTTAAAAATTGAAAAATAAAAATTTTTTTTACATAAATACCTTAAGTATGCCTCTTTTTTTGGGTATATATTTTTTTGAAAGTTTAAACTTTTACCTACAAGAGGAATTCAAAATAGCAAGTTTTATGCAAAAAGTTTTATTTTTTTAAGTTTTAAAAATATTCCGATAATACTCTGAAATTAAAATATATATTAAATAAAAGTTTATGTTATGTACTATAAGTAAAAAAAAAAAAAAGATTTCTCCAGACGATTTATTCTCTATGTGCAATTGGTTGCTGTATTTAAAAAAACAAGCATTTTTGTGTTAAAATTTTCGAAGTTCCATTTTATATTTTCATATTTAAATTGCTATATCTTTTTGAAAAATGTGTGAATCAATACAATTTGTTTATAGAAGTTATATACATTAAGTACATTAGTATATTCTTCCGATATACTTTTTTTAGATATCGAACAATTTCTTCTCATACAAAGGGTTTTAAAACTTTAAAAATACCTATAAAAAGTAAAACTTTTTAAACTTACTTTTTGAAAATATCCCAGAAATACTTCGAACTTTAAATATTTATAAATAATAGCTTATATTACGAACTACAAGTTAAAAAAAAAAAAAATTATCCCAGCGACTTATCTTCTATATGTAAACGGACCCAAAGTTAAACAAAAAATACTGTTTTCACATAAAATATCAATGTTTAAAAATAAACGTGATTGTAATTTTTTTTTTTTATTTACTTATTAACTTTTTATATTTTAGGTCAAACAGTAAAGCTCTATAGAAAGGGTACGTATCCTTTTTAACCCCCTTTTACAAAAAAATTAAAAAATGATTTAAGTGTTAATGTTTAACATTTTGCAGCTTTTAATGTCATTACAATAAGTATATTAAAAGGAAGAAGTTGTACTTTCCCCCAAAAAAATGTTATAGCTTATAATAAATTGAGGTATCGAAATACAGGGTGGTTCTTTTAATAGCCTTTTCTTATTCACTCGACTATTCTTAAAATAGTAATAAGAAAATTCTCTATGGTATTTTCTAGTTTCAAATATTTCTCGATTAATGAATAATTAATAAATCAAGAAATATATAAAAGTACAAATTTTAAAAATTTAATAATTAATATTAAGTTTTTTTTAAATTTATTCCTTTTACCTTATAAGGGTTTCAACATTATTTTATTAAATGATCATATACATATTTGACTAGCTTATAATATAGAAAATAAACTAATTAAGAAATGAATGATCGATGACAACATGGGAAACATTTTTTCGGAAGTAATAACTATTTTAAAATGAATGTGAAGTGTTGGTTTTGTTTTTTTCATTACCCTGACGCGGTCATTCTCCTTCTATCTATATTTAAAAATGTTATTAACTTCTCAAATATTAAAAAAATTGTTTATCTCAAATATAATTTTTGAAAGTAATTATTTAATAATTATTATTTTAACCGGTCATTTGCTTAATTTGGCTATATTTTATATTATTAGCTACTTAAATATGTACAACCCACCCTTATAATGTAAAAAGGATGAATTAAAAAAAACTTAATAATTAATAAATCAAGAAATATATAAAATTAAAAATTGCCATAAAGAATCTTACTTTTAAAATTATATTTTTATTAAAAAAAAAAAATAATTTATGAATATTTAGAGTTTGTACAGCTGATACACAGATCATAATGATGAGAGATGAGTTATTGTAAATAAACTCCGCCCATATGACGAGATTTATAATGATTTCTAAAGGGCGTGTTGAACGTCATTGGTCCAGTAAGGATGCGCTATTTCACATGTCTGGAGACTGGGAAAACGAGACAGAGCTTGCATTTATCAATTTACTCTAGTCAATGTGACATCTATTTGTGAGTTCAACAGCTTTAATACAATCCTCTAAAGTAAGTACACTTAATACTTGTTAATAATTCCATTATTCGAAAACTTATGTTTGAATTTTTGTAAAAAAGTTCTTAAAAATATATATATACCAATTCGTTAAGTATTAAACAACGATATTTTTTGCCATTATTATATAATATTTAATATTTTAATGAACTTCTTATCGATTTCTTTTATAAGATATACCATTCAACTTAATATTATTCTTATTTTTGACATATTAAAAATTGGACCGTCTTGAAAGTAAAAGTATGAGATGACTGTGGTAGACGGGAAACTCTATACACCTTTTGGGAAGGTCCTTTACACATGTAAATATTTAAATTTTTTTGCGAGTTTCGTAATTATTTATTTATATATAATTTAGTAGCTCATAATATATTTTAAAGTTATATATATTTTCGGAAGTAATCTTATCATCTTATTATACCTCCTATTTCTAATAAAAAAAATATAAAATAAATAAAAAAAAAAAATCGTTTGCAAATAATTTTTGAATTATCATAATTTTTACTAGTTTCTAATTATTTATACTTTTAAATAAAAGGTCGTCATTGATTCTCAGAAAATGAATTTAAAAAAATAAATGAACATATTTCTGCAGTATAACTCATTATTATTATTATTGATCCTGCTCGATTTATATGCTAAAGTTTTTATTATATGACATGGTCTAGAAGTTGAAATTTATACTAAAGTGGGTATCATAAAATCAAACCACACCAAATACCATATAATATGCATCAATGTATAAGTACTTGGTACTCAACACGTGTCTAGGCCGACGTTTTATTCCTCTGAGACCGAAATGTATATTCTATATGTTTTTGATACAACCAGCACCCTTACAAAATAACCAAGAATAACATATTATCATACATAATTCATTAATATGTAATCAATACGTTGTTCTTACTTTTATATAAGGGAACTATAATATATATATATATATATATATATATATATATAAATGACAATATATGCCAAATCAGTAATTAAAATTTTAGTTTGGTTTTGTTATTGAACTGAAATGAAATACTAGAATTACTATAAATAATAATTAGTAAAACGAATTAAGAATTAATACTATTAAAAAAAAAAAATAGAAAACTATAATTCAACTATCATTAAATAGAGTGACAGCACTAATGAATGAACACCACTGAAATTTTAACTATAAAATGATCTAATTTGACTGTAATATGTTGATGTTATTAGTTTTATAACAAATAAAATGTCTAAGCTAAGTCTTATAGCAATATTACAATCTTTCATATTATATTATATTTCACTAGAAGATTATATATTAAAATGCATGTGTTAGTTAATTTTAAATAATTTTCCATTATTACTATAGAGATATTTCCAGAGAACAAATATCTATTAGTTTAATGTCTAAGTTAATTGGTATTTAAATATTTTTTTAAAATAAAATTAATGAAGAACTTTAAATGATGAAAAACTCTTTAAACTGTTTATTCACTGATAAAGTCATCCTAGCTTCTTTTTTTTATTAGTATATATAATCTCTTAATGTTTAAACAATTTGTTTGATATAATTATTTTTTGATTAACCGATAATTGAAAATCCGAAGAATAGTTATAAATTTTTACAATCTTATAACTTAAATATTATGTATATTTTTATTTAGAATGGATTTTTTACAATGCGGAATGTATTCCATGGCTGATTCCACACTTCCAGATCATGATCATGGTCGAATTTCAATGTCAAAAAAAAGGTATTTATTATCATTTTTCTCTTAGAATTCGATGTTAATTCTAAATAATTAACGTGTTATTTACACAAAATTTGTTTTGTAAGTTAATTATGATAACTAAAATCATTACTATAAATGATTAACACTTAGAATTAAAGACTAAAAAGTATAGTATTTCTGAATAATAATTGGTAGTTTTTGCAATTGTAGGTATTATTTTATATTATTTCTATAATGTAAAATTAATATTTTTTAATTTTTAGTCGCGATAAAAATGTAGTCCCTGGGATGGCCACATTAACAAGAGAAGAACGAAGGAGAAGGAGAAGAGCTACACAAAAATACAGAATGGCCCATGCAACTCGTGAAAGAGTTAGGGTAGAGGCATTTAATGTGGCTTTTGGCGAGTTACGTAAACTTTTGCCAACAATTCCACCAGATAAAAAACTATCGAAAATAGAAATTCTTAGGCTAGCTATATGTTACATTATGTATTTAAACCAATTCTTGGAAACTTAGTGAAATTGACCATTATTTTTCTCGTATTTCTATGAATTTTGTGTTTTTGTTATGTACTTATTTTTTTCCACCGGAAAATTAAAAATTATTTATAAAATAGTGTACTATACTTATTTGTATTTCGATGCGAAAATAATAAATTTGTTATTATTATTATTATTAAATTATTGTTTATTTATCAAAATTCAACTTTGAAAGTCAATAAAATACTTTCTCACAAATATAAACATTTTCTAATAATCAGTTGACCCGAACAAAAGTATTAACTTATCAAAAATTCATCAAATTATGGTTGAATAGATAGAAACTATTTTAAAATACTAGAAAGTCTTATATAGCTATAAACGTCAAGTTAATATTTTAAAGTAACAAATAAATTATCAACGTAGTAAAACACACTTATAGATGACTAAATGACAACTAATTTTAAGAAAATCATGAAGAAAATGACTTTTTTCCTTTAAAATTAAACTTTTTAAATCACTCACGATTTAAATCAGCACTTACAATCATTTTAATATTTTCGATGATAATTTGTAATATTGTTACACATTTAAATAGTGTCTTCCTTATGATAAGTTTTTACAGTTTTGCAAAATTCGTGGAACCAATGTTTTACTAAAAGTCCCGTCTGGGGCTAGAGGATTTTACTGCGCATATAATGGAATCTGCAAAACAAACACCTGAGCCTTTTCCCTTTAACCAAACGGTTATCACTGTGTCGTCAATGCTTCAACCATTGTTACAACTTAAGTATTTACCAATGAATTGTAAATGATTATACAAATTTATTGTTGATATCAATATGATAGGTGCCAGTGGCGAGAGGCGAAGAGAAGTTTTCAACCACTTCGAGTCAGAAATTTATTTTAATGATTTTTTTAATATTCCATGATTGATACTTTTATAATTTTAATACAAAATTTACCTCACTATAGGTAAAAAAAGTTGTTAAAAATGCTATTATAAGCAATTTAGATGAAAATTTATTGCCACTCGCAAGTATAAATGCAGTGTCTATAACGATTGGATTGCTTTGTTCCCCTTCGTACATCTCGATTGTTCAAACTAAATTAACTATAGGGTGTTGGGAAAAGACTGATATAAGTGTGAACAAGAGGCGCGTGTATGATGTAGTCTCTAGGGATTCATGCACAATTCTAGTTACATGGATCGTCGCTCAACGTACGACCTTTTTATATGTGTAAATCGGATTAGAAAACACCGACCAGAAACGATCATAGTCTATTTTCAATAATTTGATTTTCTTCTTGTGTTACTTATTTCGATTAGATGAATCTATTCAACACCGCTACACATTATTTGATATTCTAAATTAACTCGGTGAAAGATGTAAATAATAAACGTAATAAGTTTTAATTTAATTTTCCATAGACTTTTTACCACACATGACTAATTACATATTCAAGTATACATTAACGACTTTTATGATAATAAAAATTCATATGGATTTATTATTTTGTAGAAACAATCAGTTTAATAAGTAAAAAATTGTTTTTAAAAATATCGATAGTTTATTAAGATCTACAATTGATTGGTGAAAGCAAAAACACAGAAAATTAGGCCCTTGAAATTATGATGTCTTCTTAAATGGAATGATTTTATATCTTTAACGAATGAATTGAATTTTCAGAAGAATATTCGATAGTCTTTGTTTTTGAAACATGCAACAGTTAACTCTTTTATGTGATGTGTCTTAGATTATTTGAATTTAAACTATTTTGAATATTTAACTAGGTTGTTATATCTCTAAATCTTTCAATAATGTTTCATTGCGAAGAAATTGAAGAACTCAATGCTATAACTGATTCTAATTTTTTAAAAAAATAACTTACTTAATAGTAATTATATAAGTTCCAGATCACATATCAATCTAAAAAATAGGATTTTTCGAATTCTCATAAAATTTACTATAATTACCAATAAATTTACTGTAAATATTTTTAAAACTCTCTATTAAATGATGTTAAACAAAGTTAAACATTTTTAAATTATAAACTTTTATAAAAATAAAATCTAAAGGACAAGAAAAATGGGTTAAAATCTCAAAAATGAGATAATAGAAAAAAATTAATTACGGGTTTGTAATCGGCGCAAAAATGGGTTTAAAAATGTATATTTTGGGTCTCTCATGGAAATTCCTTGAAAACCAGTAAATTTATTAATAAGTAATAAACAATTTTTTTTTTAAGTATTGCATTAAGCCCTTCAATTTTTATATACGTATGTCATAAAAGTAATTACTACTTTTAAAATTTTTTCGTAAAAATTACAATATTAAATATTAATTCAATTCTAAATTTAATTACTATAATTAATATTAGACCTTATTGTGCTACTTTTTTCAAATAAATTTATCAAATTATGAAGTATTTTTTATTTTTAAATTATTGTCAATAAGTATTTAACTAGAGGAGACCGGTTCAGTTGTAACATTTTTTATATTTGTAGCAATATCACAAAAAAAAAAAATAATATGACTCAAAAATGTTTAAAATAAAAACTTCTCTTAGAAGGCACTACATTTCATAGGAATAAACGGGTGAAACATGTTAGCGACAAGTGTGCGCCCGTGATTAAAAAAAAAATAATTTTGCTTATTTATCATATACCAATTTAATTAAGTTTGTCATTTTTAAGTTTAATTTAAACCAATAATAAATATTTATTAGTAGAACTTCTATCTACTATCCCAAGACGGTAATTTAGGTTTTTTTATAACAATAGATAGATAATGTCGTCTTCCTTCATAATATACATTTTAAGTTCATGTAATTAATACAAACATTTATATAATGTTTTTTTTATTAGATTAAACCCCAGGTAAGCGATAAGTTGTGCCACAAACATATATAAGTTATATTTAGTAGTTATACATACTTTATTTTTAGAGTTGTTGCAATCTGAACTAGAGGTAAATATTATCAAAATATTTAAACATAAAACATCTCTGTATTATGCATTAGATTTTGCTTAGCTTGGTCTTCGCCCCCGACCTGAAGCTCTACAAAACTCACGCGCCTTCGGTGCGTATGCCTCTTTGGCCTGTCCTCATAAGTAGGCCGCTGATTTCGGTAAGAGTCCTCAACTACGGCGGTCACGATAAGTGTTACGCAGAAAAAATATTACATCAGAATCAGTGTAACAAATATATTAAACAATTAATTATTAAAATCATAAAAATTCTATAAGAGAAAATATTTAAAATTTTATGAATTTCAAACGCTCGTAGCGGCCAAAGTTTTGATCGGATTTTCAAATTTTTGGCGCTTCCTCGGCACGTATAGATCGCCGTCGTAAAATTGGGAATCAAAAAAAAATTGTTCACATTTCGTAAAGATTTTCGGGTGGCGTCTTTTAAGTGTATGAAAAAAAGGTCGTAGAACGGTAAAAAATGAATGGATTGATTAAAATTTTTTATGATATCTCAGAAATGTTTTTGCGCGGGTCTAGTGAAAATTTTATACCTTAAGTCGTAAAACGTTGACGTCAGCGAGCGTTTTTCTCAATAACAATTAATAATATACAATGTAATATTATATTACTGTTATTGTATAAATCGAGCATAATGAGCATGGACGTAACTTGAAAAGTTCTTTTGTATGAGCTATAGTCCTATATTCTATTTTATAAATTTAGAGAAATAATTTGACAGTACACTTTTCTACTACATTTCTTTATTTCCTCTCTCTCTCCAAAAATTGAGTATTAGTCTATTTGCGGAGGCTACAAATGTTTCTATGAGGGCCGAAACCCTTTCAGCAAGCATGCTTTCTATGATACACGGTAATGAGAATTTCAATGATAATGAGATTTATTTTACTTAATTTGTGTGAATATTGTAAAATCACAAATTTTATGAAATAATGTCAAATAGATTTCATACTATTCGCAGTAAAACATAGTCATAGTCATCAATAACAGTACATGAATTTAATAACTACTACAGTGTTACCACTTATTTTGTATCAACTGCTTTCTATGTTTACTACTGTTATCAATTGTTGATTATCATAATTAATATGTGTTTTACTTAGGTGTTCTTAATATTATGTTAATTATTTTCACTACACAGAATGTGGACTATTAGCTAAATTTTGTTATTATATTGAATTATTTATATATTTTTTTTTACAACACATTAATAATACTTAAAGAAATACGTATTACGCGTTAAAATATTTGTAAAAATTGCCATCTACATGATTTTAGTCTGTAATTATTATAAGTTTTCTGTTATTATTTAATTTATTTTAATTACTTAAATTAATACAACAAAAATTTGTTTTTTTATTCATTTTGCTCTTAGAAGTATTCTTACCTCCGAAATACTTCATAATTTTTGGTAATTTGCATTTTTTTACATATATTATTTATGTTATATTACATATAATATTAATGCTGGCTTCTCACTTCAATAACTTTCAATGTATAAACAAAAATTTTTAAACTAAATTGGATTACAATTATTAAATCTTATCAGTAAACTTATTATTATTTCCTATTATAATAATTTTTGAAAATTTTTAATTTTAAAGTATGTGTTACAATAGTGGGTGTGATGAATCATATAAAATAGTACTAAGGATACCACTCCTATAACTATTGTTATAGTTACATTTTTAGTTTCTTGTTATTTGTTTTTATTATTAATTACTGTTGTTTTGTTTTTGTAGATCAATTATTTGTCTATTATACTTTTTCAATGGTTTGTCAAAGATAGGGAAAATCAAATGATTGTTGGTGAGTTATTCATTACATACTATAAAAATGGACCACAGTTTTCAGAATACAGGGAGAACTCATGTAAGATATTTAAACTTGTTTTTAGTTTAATTGTTATAATATAATTATTATTTATTTTTATTAGTTTGGAACCAATCCTCAAAAGATAGTAACAAATTCATATTGCGATCGTACATCACCTGTATCACCAGTTACAAACATTGGAACATTTTCATCTTTAATACACCACTCAAAAGATGACAACAATATGAATTCATTGCAGCGCAAAGCTCAAGTTAAACTGAATACCATGCCGTAAGATTAATCATGCAATTTTTTCTATTTACAATTAAAATACTATTCAATAACTTTTATTTAAAAATAAAAATATACATAAACAGAATTTGAATTAATTTTGTTAAGAATGCATTTTATATTTAATAGAAATATCTAAAAAAAATATTTAAACTGTTGAAAATTTGTCATTAAATAGATTTTTAAAATAAACTTGCATTCTTTTCTCACAATCAATATTATTAATCTTTCAAAACAAGACATTGAAATGTTTAAAATTTAGAATAGAATTTTCTTGGAGTTAATTTTAATACATTTAATCTTAATGTACTTTAAATTTTGATTCTTTTTTCAATTTCTTTTCATAAGATAACACAATTTTTTTTTTTTTTTAATGCATATTACTATTTTTGAGTATAATATTATTTTAACAGCGCTAAAAAAGAATCATGGATAATAAATTCTTGTAAATTGTATTTGTTGAAAAACAGTGTTTAGTACTCATCTCTCAGTTATAGTTTTAAGAAATTTTTAACAAATATATTTTATGTATCTTAATTTATGATTAGATGGTTTCATGGTAAAATATCAAGGGAAATGGCAGAAGATCTACTTACACCTAAAGAAAATGGATTATTTTTAGTTAGAGAATCTACAAATTATCCTGGAGATTATACACTCTGTGTATGTTATCATGGGAAAGTGGAACATTATCGAGTGAAATACAAGGACAATCAATTGACAATTGATGATGAAGAATTTTTTGAAAATTTATCAAAACTTGTAGAAGTAAATATAATATAGTGGAATTAAATGTTTTTTTATGACTTTTATGATTTCATATCAATTTTAGCATTATGAAAATGATGCTGATGGTTTATGCACTCAATTAACTAAGAGTCTACCTAAAAAAGGAAAGCAAGATTATTGCATTGATACAAAATCCTTCATTGAAGCAGGATGGGTTATACAAGAACATGAATTACAAGTAATGTTCTATCTCAATATTATATTGTATTACAATTCTAAATTATTTAAAATTGTATCCAGTTGAATGAAACAATCGGAAAAGGAGAATTTGGAGATGTTTTATTAGGAATGTACAGAGGAGAAAAAGTTGCCGTAAAAATGTTAAAAGATTCTAGTGTTGAAGCGCAAAAATTTTTGACAGAAGCTTTACTGATGACGTAATATTATTAAATTATATTTCCTATAATTTGAATTTAATTATTCACTCATAATTATATATATAATTTAAACTTTTTAGATCCCTGAGACATGAAAATTTAGTGGAACTTCTTGGTCTTGTTTTAAATGAAAAACATCTTTTGTTGGTGACTGAGTATATGGGTAAAGGAAGTCTTGTTGAATATTTACGTTCAAGAGGTCGTCTCCATGTTACTAAAAAAGATCAAATTAATTTTGCTGTGTAAGACATTTTTATAAATGTTATTTTTTGTGTAATAGGACTTATTTTATTCTATTTATTTTACTTATTTGTTCACTCAATTTTACTAGAGATACATGTAGTGGAATGGAATATTTAGAATTTAGAAAAGTTGTACATAGAGATTTAGCTGCTCGAAATGTACTTATATCTGACACAGGAGTAGCAAAAGTTGCAGATTTTGGATTAGCACGTGAAGAAAACTATACAGTAGATGCTGGCAAGTTACCAATTAAGTGGACAGCTCCTGAAGCTCTCAGACAAGGAGTAATAATCAATAAAGAATTTTTTCTAATTAATTATAATGCATTAAAAAAGAATACATTTTTTTTTTAGATATTTTCCAATAAATCAGACATGTGGAGTTTTGGTGTTTTGCTGTGGGAAATATACTCTTTTGGCAGAGTCCCATATTCTAGAATAGTAAGTTTTGACTATTGTGTTTCATATTTTGATATATCTTGTTTATAGATATACTCTATATTGTTTAGTTCGAAAATATTAATGTTTATATTATACAGGGTGATTTTTTTATCATAACCCACTCAATTACTTACAGAATAATAATAATTAAAAAAAAATTTTTTATTATTATCTTTAGTTACACATTATTCTTGAATTTTTAACTATGTAATACTTTTTAAGTTCATCCCTTATGCCTTGGAAGGGGGTCAACTTTGTTTTTTTAAATGGTAACACATATTTTTAATTTAATAAAATGTTTGAGTTTTTAATTTAATAGTAAATGGCATTTGAATTTTTAATATAACTTAATTCGTTTATTAGATATAATCATTTAAAGTTTCAAATTTTTGAATTAATATACAGGTATAATACACAAGGGATTACAAATACAGGTAGCTAATTGGTTTTTTATAACATCGATATTAGCAGGTACACAGCATTGTTATTATCAATTGTAGTAAGGCACATTGTTATGAGTTTATAAATACACTAACTGACAATACAGAAAGTATATCTATTGATAATCATAATTGATAATAAACAATCCGTGACTGAGACAGCAATGTCATAAAAATCCAATTAGCTACCTGTATTTACAATCCCATGTGTATTATACATGTATATTAACTCAAAATTTTGAAACTTTAAATGTTTATATCTAATAAGCTAATAAAGTTATATTAAAAATTCAAATGCCATTTACTATTAAATTAAAAACTCAAACATTTTATTAAATTAAAAATATGTGTTACCATTTAAAAAAACAAAGTTGACACCCTTACAAGGCATAAGGGATGAACTTAAAAAGTATTACATAGTTAATAATTCAAGAATAATGTGTAACTAAAGATAGTAATAAAAAAAAATTTTTATATTATTATTATTCTGTAAGTAATTGAGTGGGTTATGATAAAAAAATCACTCTGTATAGTACATAAATAAAATCATAAAAAAAATCAAAATTGAACAAACTTCAAAATGCTCTATAAACTTAACTACTGAATAAAATAAGAGTTTTTGATATCAAAATTTTTCTTTAAAACTTAACCATGAAATGGCTATTTTCAAATCTTAAAATAAATATTATTACAAAAATTAATATTCAAAATATTTATTATAATTGCGAAAAATAATACATAGGATTATATTATATTTTAATATAATCTTATATATATTGTAAAAATTAATTTAAAAAAAAGTGTAAAATATTATTTGGATTATAAGTTATATAAGTGGTCAGTTAGATCTGTTCTACTCTTTATTTATGTATATTTATATAGGATTATTCCACTAAAAGTACATTTTTCATTATAGTTAATTTTTAATATTTATTGGATTTTATTAACTTCTATTACAATACTAATTCCTTTACTTTTATTAACATTTAGCCATTAATCGATGTTGTGAAACATGTAGAAAAAGGTTATCGAATGGAAGCTCCTGAATGTTGCCCTCCAGAAATTTATGAAATAATGAGACAAGTAAGAACAATTAAATTGTTTAATGTTTAATAAGAAGTATTTATTTAAATTTACTACTAATTTTACTTTATTTTTAGGCATGGGACTTATTACCAGATAGAAGGCCCAATTTCAAAGATGTTAAAACTAAATTAGCACTTTTAAAAGCTTTAACTATTAACTAGTTATTCAATAGGAAACAAGTGTATAAAATATTAAATTTCTATTGTAAACATTTGTATAAACTATTAGTCTTAATTTATAAATTATTATTTGTAAGATTATTTATGAGCTAGTCTTTCATATTTATTATTATTTTCAATATTTTTATTGATATATACTGCACTATATTTATGAAATATTTCACAAATTAAAAAAAAATCTATTTTTTTTAGTTTTAATAGTTTTTTATAGTTAAAACTTAAAAATTTTAGCAAACCAGTTTAATAATGTTTTATTTAACATCAAATCCACTTAGTTTAATTATAAAATGTAATTGTAAGTAAATAACTTATTCTATCTGGACTACATCAATTTGTTACAATATATTATGTTGTAGAGTATAGATCCTTTTTGAACTAGTTTTTTTTTTTGTATGAAGAATCACTTCTTTATATTCAAATTTTAAGTGTTGAAATATATATATATATATATATTAACAAAATAAAAAATATTTTTTAAATTCATTAAAATTTTAGTTTGACTATTAATTGATTTTTTTCAATTATATTTTTGCTAATAATTTTTTTGTACTGAAACTAAATTTTAACTTGGTGTATTAAATTTTCCTATAAAAGTTTTAATAAACAAGTTATATGCATAAGTAGTCCCATGTAGTCTTCCATCATAAAATATGTTTTATAAAATGTATATATAAACAGGCCTTTATTTTTATTGCAAGAGTTTTTGGTTTTAATATTTTTTTATTGATGGTTGTATTGAAAATTTAATTTAATATATCTAACAAATGTTTATTATTTTTATATTTAATAATTTTAAATTATATGTTTTTCTTTTTACATGCATTTTACTAACTAAACTATGCATAATTAAATATTGTAAATTTTAATTATTTTTGTCTTGTAAAGTGATTTTATATTTTAGCTACTTTAAAAAATTGTTAAAAATATATCTATTGAATGCATTTTGTAACTGAAGATTTACATAAAATAAATAAATTTTTTTCTAATATACAACTCACTTGAATTAATATTTTTTAAAATTTTTGTTGAATAATTAATTTATTTACTCTTGTAGAAATTGTTGTAATATACACAAAATAAGTATTTGACATAGATTATAAATTTGTTTGATATATAGTTTTTTCCCACTACATATGCAATTTTATTGATATGTTTTCTAATAATACACCAAAGTGTATTATTGACTATTAACATTACAATAGATAAAAAATTTCATCTAACATTTATTTAGATTTTAACAATGAAATAAATTATTTTTAATATTGTGTCAAAATCATTTAAAAAGAAAGTTAAGGAAATTAAAAAATATATTTTTTATTTTAATTAATACATTATTATTGTTAATGTATTAATAATTTAATAATATAAGTAAATATTGGTGGTCCTGATGTTATAATAAACCATAATTATTTTTTAATAATGTAAATAACTCTGGTTAATTAAATTAAATTATTCTAGTCCCTCTAAATATTTTACTGTTTATGGAATCATAAGTATGTTTGTGTAACTGTTGTACAATATAGTAAAAATACATCAAATCAAAAAATATATTTTAAAAAACTCAGTAGATTGTGACACAATGGAACAAGTAAAGATAATATCGAACATTGAATAACATTACTACTATAAAAAACTCTTCAATGCAATTAATATTTTAACAATAGTTTTTATATTTATAATTTCAAAATATGTTTTAAAATTTATTAAATGCTTGTTAAATTATTTGTTTAATTAAAAATACATTAATTTTTAACTTCTATGCAAAACTGAGAAGGTATTAATTTTACTATGATGTGTTTATTTATTTTTTGTGTATTGCCACTTTTTCTTAGCTCTCACCGAACTGATTTCTTTCAACGATACGTCAAAAGATCACAAATCTTATCTAGTCTAAGACATTACCCTGAAAAATTTCCCTTGAAATCTCCAAAAAATTACAAATTTAAAAACCGGTAATTTTTTACTTTTTTTTTTATTTAAAACTATCATACTTTTCGAAAAATAAATGAATAGAAACAATTTTTTTTTAAATATACTACTACTTTATTATTTTTATAATTTTTTTCTTATAAATTACAATATTAAATTATTGAATATTAATTTCATACTAAATTTAATTACTATAATTAGGATATACTTAAGGAAATAGGATTTGATGTTTCTTTTGTAATTATTAACAATTTCTTAGAATTAAACACTATCTACAAATTTGCATCGAAGCGTTTCTTATAACAGTGATTTTAATTACTGTCAGATATCATCTATACTTGTCCCAACTATGCCACGTCTGTAGTGTGCCGTGACCCCACTGTGCTATCGTATTTTTATTTTGACAGCCGATTTACATAGTAAAACAGTTGAGTGATGATTTAATTTTTTCGATATAGGTTAAAGTTGTCAGACATTCCGGAACATTTTCAAATAAATCAATAGCGGCTCTAAAAAATCGGTGTTTCCAAACTTATCGAACACTCTGTATAAGATATTAATATTTTAATTAAAAAATAGAATTTAATTAGTCATTAATCTTCTAATAATTAATGTAATTAGTCTCATTCTCTATTGTTATATATGTTTATTTTACTGAAAATATGTTAATTATGCACATAAAACTGTATATTAGTTTGATCAAAATTGAGACACTAGTTCTTAAAAAAATAAAATTTATGTATATGTATAGTATATTAATAGTTGATCTGATATTATTTTTGTTACTAGTATTTATTATTTTATAAATTCTAATTTATTATTAGTATTTTGAATGAACATAGACTTCACTTCACAGTAATTATAAAATAAATAAATTGGATATATTTTTCTATACCACTAATATAGAAAATTGTGTAAAAACAATCAAGCAAAATTATATTTTAAATAATTTATTAAACAACGTTTTGTTCAAGTATCACATTTTAAATAAATATTTAACATTTCAATAATTAGCTTTTCATTTTATAGAAATCTTTAAGTTTAAGTTTAATCAAATGGACATGATTTTGTGTTTCTCATTTGAATGCAAAATGTTCCACGAGCACTAAAAAAAGAATAAAATAAAATAAATAAATGATTAGACGAATAAAATTACATTAAAAAGCCATAGAAATGCAAACTTTTAAGAAGCCATAAAAATTGATACTTTTAAGAAGCCATAGAAATTTATACTTTTAAGAAGCCATAGAAATTCATACTTTTAAGAAGCCATAGATATTCATTTTTTAAGAAACCATAGAAATTTACACTTTTAAGAAGCCATAGAAATGCATAAGTTTTAAGAAGCCTTAGAAATTCATTTTTTAAGAAACCGTAGAAATTCATACTTTTAAGAAGCCATAGAAATGTACAAAAATTTATAAACAAAAAATTTTTTTTTAACTTGTAAAGTTGTTATGATTATATCAAAGTCATTAAATCTTATATGGTTCAGTTGATTAAAATGAATTTGTTAAAAGGAACATTATTTTCCAATTATTTCAGAAGGGAAAACAACAATATTTTTAATAACTTAAATTTAAATAGTTTAAATCGATAACATTAATTATTAGGTAAGCAAAATAAAATTTGATTGCACAAATTTTATTAAATCAGTAAATATTGAAATTTTGAAAATTCGAAATTAGATTTTTGAGTTAGAAATTATACCTGCAATACAATGATTTTAAAAATCAATAACTTTCTAGCCATATGAATTGCATTGATAATGCGTAGACAATTAAATATTAATAACTAGTATAACTGTACCTTTCTGGAGTATGGAATCCCATTGATACAAGAGAATTCTTAATGACTCCTTTAGGAAAAGGTTGGCAACTAGTTGTACAGGGTACGCCCATATGACGTTTGCCTTTTTCTGAAACGGTTGCAGCAAAAAAACAAGCACCTAAAAAGTGGCTGCATCTCGCACGGCCTAAACAGCGTAAACAAAATTTACAAGTTTATAATTGGTCAAATATTATGAAAAAGAAATCGAGTATTAAAAGCATTTCTTAAGTACTGTAAAAGCCACCATTCAAATATTTTTTTATTTAACTACTCATTTTCTAAACATTTCAATAAACTAATTTTAATCACACCAACCGCGGCATTAGGAAGTTTAAATAAAACTATTAAATAAAAAGTAAAATTACTTGAAAGCAATAACACAAACATTGAACTAAAATGCGATATTGTTAGTGTACTTACAACATTATAAGTTATCCACGATTTCAACATAATGTGATTACAATCTACTAATTGTGTTTCTATCATCTAGTTACATATACCTAAGTGCAATCATTCAACTAATAATAAAATTTAACTACTGATCTCTATACTTGATAAATGGTGACCCTACATCTTAGATCTGCTAAATGATCGTTTTGTGTAAAGGGCGAGCAATATTTATTACGGATGTTTCTTGGTTCATTGATGCAGCTGGGTTGTAAACGACCACCGTTGACACAGAAATCCACGTGCCCCACTTGAGGAACTTCTCCGAGGAATCCAGCATTGGTGTGTATCACTTGGACCATGTTGGCGTCGTCTCTCGTTAAACGGAACTCGTTCGTTCCGTACCTGTCGACCAGAGGTCTTGCCGGATCCAGACCTAAACGGCAAACAAGTACTCTTGTAAAACCACAACCATAGTTTGAACTAATAGAACTTTCTAAGACTAATGCGCTTAATATTTTTCATTCGTTTGCCATAATATCAAACTAAATCGATTACGTTTAAAAGATATATTATTCGAGAGCAGAAAACATCATTCGAGTTATGCGCGTATATCTTAAATTTTGATGAAACGGTGAAAGCAACTAGGATACATTCACTATAAAATTTATTACGATTAGGATCACAGGCAAACGATTTGGATTTCAATTTGTCAAATAATGGCATAGACTTATTGATATTACAGACTTTAAGTCATTTCACCAGGCAGTGCGGCGTTATTTAGATATCCTAATTTAGTATATAATGTTCACAGTTTAACAAAAAACCGGATTGAAGATTACAAAATGAAAAAAAAAAGAAAGTATCTGTGAAAAAATTTTTTTCACAATTGTTTTAGGGGACAAATTACTACAAGCACATAGCAGTAAAAATATTTTTACGCCAATAATGCCTTGTAGACTTTCTACTGTTCACATAAAACTAAAAATATAAAATTAAAATTGCCACTTGAAAAGTAAAGTTAAATGTTATAGTTTTATGATGTTTGAATTATTTTTTTAAGTAATGTTTAAAAATAACAATTTAATTATAGTGTCGTTAAAAATCGTATTGAAATATAAATAATTATTTGTAATAATAAGAAAATGCAAAATAATGTGAAAATATTTAGTGGATGTAGAAAGGAACTTAATTTCAGTAAGAATTTATTATACAACAGAATTTTTTAAAGCCAAACAACAACAAATTTCTAACGACCATTGACTTGATGACGAATACTATTAGGTATTTATATACAATAACTTTTTTATTTGCTATTAGCAAATTAGAAATTATAACCTATAATTTAATATAATATTTATTGTATATTTATATTAAAAATAAATATACAATTTTAATAATACATATATATCCTATTTTATATTCACCTATTGCGACTTTTTGTGTGATTTGTATCATTCAAACAGGTTTTTAATATATACTTCTGTATATAAAAGCAGACGATATTTAATAGTGGTGAAATTGTTAGTTTTCAATTATGCGGAAACTTAAACGACAATGCAATTATCTAAACTATAAATTTTCATTTACTTCATGGAACTTTAGCTTTGTAATTAAAAAAAATATATATATTTAACCATTTGGCACTTATTTTTGAATATGTTTTTTTCTTCCATTACATGACAGCACAGTTGATTATCGTTTTTATATTAATAGAATTTCGAAAAACGTATCAAAGATTTAATCATAATCCGTTATAATTGAAAAGGAATAAACCATTTGCTTAAAAGATGTGAAGCTTTTAATTGAACATTAATGATGTAACTTTATATAACATATAGTGTCTGTTCAAAAAGTAAGGAAACATGTCGATTGTTACAAATAATGAGAACAATAGATACCCGTTTCATTACATACTGAACACTGTGTATATGTATATACATTTTACGGAAATTTGTAGAAGAAATTTTTTTATTTTTTTCTACTATCGATGAAATAATTGTAATTTTGGAGTCTGGTGATATCGGTGTTTTTTTTTTTATTCGAAAAAATTATATTACTTAAAGAAGTTCAATGAGTTAAAATATCTATTTCATTACACGAACTAAGTTAAAAGTTATATTAAATTTACTATTTAAGTAAAACTAATAAGTAGACAATATTTTGTCTGTGATGTAAAACCTACAAAAAATTGCACTTGAACGGAAATGACACCAAAAGTAGAGAAATATAAACAACAAAAAAAATGTTGATTTAAAAAATAAAAAATATTCTACATTGAGATAGAAGATTAAATAGATTTTTTTATTGAATTTTTTTATCTCCCTCTCTCAAAATTTTAATTAAATTATAGCTTACAATATTGAATAATGAAAAACTTAACAGAAAATATATGATTAATATTAAATAAACTAAAAACCAATGTCCTATGAAAATGAAAAATTATTGGGCTTTTTTTTTAAAAAATAACTAAAGCATCCATTTCAATAATAAAAACAAGTAGATATTACATTATTTAATGGAAACTTTCAAAAGGATATAAATACTATACAATTAAATACGACTAGAATGAATAGGATAACTAATTTAAGATAGTAAATACATACAGCTTCTGTTTAATAACAACTATCGAAAAATTATTTTTAATAGTAATTAATCGACAAGATTAATTGATTACTTAAAAGTATATCATTAAGTTATGTGCAGGAATAATTTTGCTTTCTTGTTCATTTCAATTATTCATACGTGATGGCTCACACAAATTATTTGTTTCGCATGATTTATCATCACTTTGACTGCAGTTAAAGCTTGTTAAGCATTATATATAAATATTTACCGATGCGTAGCACATTGTACATATTTACGATGACATTAATTGTTCATAAAATCTTAAGTACGTTTACCACAGTTAATATTATATATGAAATGAATAGCGATAAATGATATGTAACAAGTTTCTATGCTTTTTCATTAAAAAAAAAATAATTCACGAGTGAATCAAAACTTGTTAGATAAATGTGTAAATTTTGAATCAAACATTTGTTTCATGTACCTACAGAAAAAAATATTTTACATCGTTACACAAACACGTGCTAATGATGTATAAATAATAGAACTATTCTTATACTTAATCACAAATATGATTTAGAATTTAATTTATTTTTTGGTTTTGAAGTATTTTCTTGTACATGCCATTGACATGTAACTCAAAGAAATTGTGTAAACTAAACCTGCGATTGTAGCCCAAGAGTGAATTATGCATAATTATTTTAGTGATTAAAATTTAAATATGAGAACAAACCTATGATTTTATGCTGTTTGTGAGTCAAATGGTTGCTCATCATGCCGCATATGTGAGCGCCCAAACTGTGTCCGACGCATTGTATATCGTATGCGGAAGCTCCAGAATAAGTGAGATGAGCGTAAAACTGAGCGCTGCACTGGGCGACTAACCTCGTGTTGCTCAGTGAAGAGAGGTAGCAAGGAAAGAAGGTCAGCGGTTCCCAGTCGATCAGAAAAACATTGTGGTCTTTTCTCCTTAGAAACGCTACACATGAAATCAGAGTAAATACAAAAGTTCATAATGATTTACTATTCAAAGTTCATAATCACTGTATGTTATAAACGATTATATGTATTCTTAATAGATTTCAAAAGTCAATTTCCCCTTGTTCTTACTTTTACTTGAGACACTGAAGACATTTTAACAATCGCGAAAGTCTACCAACTTAACAGAATCAACCGGACAAAGAGTGTGTTGTTTGTCACGTTGAACGTGGACAGTGTAGTATCTGCTACGATTTTACGAATAGTACGCAAATCACAGAAAGAAAACAACGCGCACGAACAGACATAGCTGACGGTGAAACTCAACTAAAGTGCAGCTCACAAATAAATGTATTATATTAAAAAATAAATATAATATATTAAAAATACATTTTTAGTAGAAAATAAAATTTACGAATTATAATAAGTCAAGAGAGCTCAGAAAAACGTGCTTAAACTTTTGTTTTATACATTTCGAGTGACTACTATAGATAAAATGTTACATGATATCGAAATAACATAAAGTAGAAGGAAAGTTTTCTCTTCGAATGGTATATAATTATAAAACCATTGGAGTATACAACTACTATAACAAAAGTTATTAAAAAAATTAGTAAAATAATTGTCGTAATTTAGATCTATAATATTTTCTTCAGAAACACTGTTCGGGAATACTATTAATTCTATTATATTTGGTCTCGTAGAAAGTGAGATTAACTTAATCGTTTAATTATATAGAAAAAACACTAGACAAAATATTAACGGTTTGCAATAAGTATAAGATTTTATTTTCAGTTAATTTGCCGTTTTAGGTCAAATGTAACATAAAATTCAAATTAGTAAAAATAATGTTATTATTAACATACGAGTTTTTCGAACCGTTATCAAAATATTTATTAAATTATATTCTTTTTAAAGATTTCGGTGATACTGAAATATTAAGTACAAGTAATTACAGACATTATCATAGTTTATGTTTACTAACCATCTCTTATTATCGTCATAGGAGTTTTGCTTTCTGTTCCATTAAATCCGTGTATAATAAGGACATTTTTTTTGTTAGGATCCCAACCACTGTATCGAAGTGAATTTTTACTTCTCGGGTCTATTAGTTTTTTCCGTTTTCCGTCACTAAAAACTCATATATTATTATGTGATCCATTGAACTCATTAGATTATGAAAGTAGTAATTGTTTTAAAAGCGCTGATACATCAACCGAGCGCGACAATGATTATAAATTATAAAATATACAAAAAAGTTAAGAGTTTCATTTTACCTATGGTACAAAAAAAATTTGATATCCAAATCTGGACATTGATTTGAACGTTTCATTACACATCGCCAATAATTAATATCAGCTACATTTTGCATTAATCCTATTGAGGCTGAAAAAATAAAAACATATTTATCAATCAAAAACTAAAATAAAATATCCAAGTTATAATTAATCTCATTCGTACAATCCACACTGTTAAAATTTCTAATTCGTCAGTGTAATATTTTTAATATACATAAATGTACACGTTAAATTTACCCATAAGTAGTGTAATTTTGATATAAGGTTCAAAAATTCGTACAGTAATATAACATTTTTATAACTATTTATCAAAAATGTCTCTTGCTTTGTATTTGTTAAAAACTTTCATTACACGTACACCCAGAGAAAAACCTCGATCTATATAATAAATTCATTGTTTAATTTGATAAATATATCATTACTATTGAAACTATGATATATTTATCAATATGATAATTTTTTTTCTTGTCTTGAACAATAATTATTTATAAGAATAATTATTTTGTTCGTATTAATAAAACATTATCATAAACCCTTGATAAAATTTCTCTATTAAAATTGATTGAGGTTTTTCTTTGGGTGTATGCGAAATATCTGACCCATTTTTTTAAGATTTAAAATTACTTGACGCTGAATTATTTTTTATGTCATTGATGAGTGTTAAAGATAATTTATCTTATAACCTCTAAAATAAATTTGTAACTAAAGGTGTAGCTTAAATTAGCAGAGATTTTTTACCAACCATAAATTAGTTAAATAAATTTAATAATTTTGTTAAATTAAAAAATTACGTTTTTACTGCAAAGTTATGATTATTTTCTTATCACGTAGTTGATGATAAAACAAGTAAATAGTTAAGTTTTTCTTCGCAAAAAAAATAATAAATAAATTACACTTGTAATTTTATAATTTTATGCTCTTAGATTGATTAGAAAAGCATAAAATGTAGTTTTTAAACGATTTAATTTTAAAATCATTGAAATATAATATCAAGTAAAACTAATACGTTCAGTAAACGCATGTAGTTATGCGAATCAGAGCGCAACGTCTGTGCAAGTAGTTATCTATTCGTCAGAAGTCAATTGTTTAGAGAACTGTAATTATTGTTTTTTAATCCGATTTTCAAAAAACTTTGTAAACAACGTGAATAGATTTAACTACAACAACAGTAGACTTGTGACATTAACTACATTAAATAGAAGCCTGGCTAGATAATTTTTTTTTATAATGGATACATATCACATCCTCGAATGACTGACTTGAGGCGCCACAGCCTCGAGTCAAAGCCAAGATCAAGATCGTTTGACAGGTTTCTTGTACCAAATGAAAGTAAATACTCATGTTTCTGTAATGACCTTAAATAGCTACTGTTTATCAATTACTTTTCGTTTACACTCCTTTCCGTTATCGCTGTTAATTCATGATCAAACGTATTCATAAACATAAATTTTTACTTATATTGGCTTTAAGTATTTGTTACGTTTAGATATTATTTACAATGTAAACCGCAAAAAGTAAAAATTCAAAGTAGTAAGTATCGATTTTTTAATTTTCTTGTTATATATTAAACTAAAAACGATTAAAAAAAATATATGTATTATTGTATATTTGGTTAGGCAAAAACCACAAGAAATAGAAATGTATTTTTTAGCAGTGTTGTATTGTTTAGTTTTCTCTAAATTTAAGTGACCTGTGAGAATATTTGAAATAGAAATTATAAAACATTATATTTATTATAATTTATTTTGTTATATGATTGTTAGCCCATAAAACAAACAGTTTCTTAAATGAAAATATATTATTACATGGTACACATGTATTTATTAAATATTTACCTCAAAAACGCATTACTAATTTTTAGTTTTACTTTTTTTCATAAGAGAAACAGGTGTTTTTTTATTTATTTGCGTTGACTACATAATTCGTTGTCGAAAAATATAAACACAAGTTCTGACAATGAACTTCGTGATGACCTACGAATAAACACGTTAACCTCTAAGACATGATGTCTAAAGATGACCCATTTCTACAGTGGGTTATTCACACACGACGAATAAAAAGTGAACGTTTCCTGAATTTTGTTGTCTGGTTGAGACAATTTATTACACAGGACGATCTTAGTGAAAACAACTTTTTGCCCCACAGCTAATATAAGCAGTTATTTCTATTTTGCGCGAGTAGAGTGAAATCAAACCGGTCTTAATTATTATATCCGATTTAATAACGGACTTCACAAATATTTTCTTAGAGGTTTCTTCGAAACATACCAAAATTATTCAGACACGTGTTTGAAAAAAATCAATTTCAACTTATTACACTATTATGATTAGTTTTCTTGCGAACTAATAATACTATAATAACTTTAAACAACTCGAAAGGAACAACATTTTTTTTAGTTTTGTAATTCATCAAAATTACAACAATTTTTAAATCATAGAATTTTTCATCAATTCATTGCTTTTCATTATATGTGATTAACATGATTATATTGTATATTATTAATATAATAGTGTATAAAATTGAATAATGTAACGTTTTTTTTTTACTAGGAAAACAGTTATTTTGTAATAATATATTTTTAAACAAACAGATGTTTGTTTGTTTACTGTAACTAATTTATTCGGAGTAAGATTTTATTAAGCTATTAATAATAAATATTTTAAAATGAAATCAAGAATAAAAAAACAATGTAACAGTTTAACTGTAAATGCGTAATCGCGACTATTTGTAATAAAACATTCAATGAGAATACCATAACAATTCTTGGAGGTGAATTTGATTATAAAAATAATTGGTGATAGTGCATTACATTCGATTGCAAAATATTATTATTGTTTTGTACGATTTAGTCTCTTTATTTTCACGGACAAATTATTCTGTCAAATGATATATATAAATATATCTAAATTATGTGTGACTAAGTCGATATGTCTATAACAAATTATGAGTGTAAATAAAATATTGTTCTACAAAATCAAAATAATATTCATAAAAAGTTTTTGGAAATTCATTTATTTCAGTTCCAATTTTAAAAAGTTCATTAAAATATTGATAAAAAAATCTAAGGAGAATCTTAAGTCTACGATAAACAGAAGTGCAAATATGATTTTTATGTCTTCTTGAAAATATTTAAATGACAACCTATTTGACGATTTTAGACTATTAAGTTATTTATATATTTATAAGAATAAATACTTTTTTCAGGATACCAAAACATTTCATGCATAATGAATTATGTTTTGTATCTAACTTAATTTAACAATAACTTGATAGTTCAGAGATATTTTTAGTAATTTGGTACCCAAATACTAGTGTTTTCCGACCTCAAAATATTTTTTTTTATCACTCACTATATATACTCTACTCTTCTATATCACTTATCAGCAAAATATTGATAGATAAAAAGAAAAACATTTTTTTTTTTAAATCATTATGCGCGGTTTTGTTGTCTAAACTTTACTACATCAAAGTATACTTATTATATTGAAAAAAATTAATACAACCCAACCCACGTGAGTATGAATAACCCACATGATACATTGATGTATAAAAACAACGTTATCCAAATTTAGGGACTAATTATCGAGAAGACAATTAAATAATTAATGGATTGACAAAGAAGCTACAAAATTTCAATCAATATTAAAAATAAAAGAACACTATGGAATAATATTTATATAATAATATGATTTGCGATTCTTAAATTGTGCGATTATTAATCATTCTGAAAATTAATAATGTCTAATCAAGTAATTAACATGTACATTTAAATTCGGTGTATACTGTTTTAAAATATTTATGACTCTTCGAGTGTTTTCAAATTGAATGTATACTGTTTTTAATCAAGGACGGTTTGAATTGCCATAAAAAATGGTATAAAATAATAATAAAATTTCACGGTGACTACCTATTTGTTTTGTAACGAATACACACTAATTGCATGCTAATAAAATTACCTAAACTAAAAAGTAAGTGTTATGTTGTAATTCTAATCAAGCTATGCTTACGCCGATAACAATAAATTAATTTTTTCAAGTTTTTTACTTTATGTTCTAAATTGAAAGTTAAAATTATTGAGGCAATTGATTTTGGATAATTAGTAAACATAAATTACTTATATTTGTTATGTTCATGAAAGGTTATACCAGATACAAGAAATATTGATTATTTTTGTAAATATTAATAAAATCAATATTTACAAACATCACAACAAAACCCGATAAGAGAATATTAACTAAAAGTTTAAATCGATTGGCGCGTTTTTAATATTGACTAACGTTAAACTTCCTATGAGTCTTACTAATTCCATACTCAATATTTTTTAAAAAAATCTCAAACGTTATTAACAGTTGAATGTATTAAGAAAAACCATCACCTTAAAATTATAATTTTTATTATATGAATACTTTCATAATTGAAAATAGTACCGAGTATAAGTTACGTTCTAGATAAACTCATCATTGCCTTAAAAAGAAAAGTAATATACAAAGAAAGTACGTTAGTATTAATTTAAAGAATATTAGAATCATCAATGTAATATTCGTATGCATATTTTGTATAATAGTATAAGCTAATGTCGATATAATATTAATGAATTAATTTATAAATTAATGAAATTTAGGCAATTTGTAACAGTTATAAGATTTTTTAGTTTAATGGACATTAAATATGACTATTTTCTTCAAAAGGTGAGTAGAATCAATAAACATGTTTAAATATTTCACAGCACAATATGGTAAACAATACATTTCTTATGTTACGTTGAAACTTTATTGGACTTTTTTCAATTTCATTTTGTTTTAACAGTAATTATGCAATATAATAGACACGTATTGCAAAATATAAATCACATACAATTGTAAACATTTATCATAATTGGTACTTTATATTAATTACTTTTCAATTAATTTACTCAAAAGACATGGTCGATTCAAGTAAAAAAATCTAGATTGTTCGATGTTATATTTTTCAATCATAAAAGTACAATTGTTTACTTATATTTCAGAAAGAAAAATAAACTTATTGAAATATTTGAAATGTCGACGTTGGCATAGAAAATAGATTAACAAACTTTTCATATTTAATAAAAAAAATTTTTTTGTAATTTTTATTAAGAACACTAACGTAACTTTATTAAAAAAAATGAAAATGAAAACCTTTAAAGACATTATACATACTAAGAATACAGAAAAATGATAAGGTCCAAGCATTTTAATAATTAATAAAGATTATCATAATAACTATTTGTATGTATAATTATATTTACCTGGTATGGCAAAAAAGCAAATAAAGAACGTCAATGCGCTTTTTTCTCGAGATATACATCTCATTTTTTATAATTTATTGGTTTACGACTTCAGTCTTATTTTTGAAGGAACATTTAAAAAAAACTCAGAAATATATTAATGTTTAACATAATCATTCCATTGAGAGAAATCATTTTTGCGGAATTAAAAAAAAAACCGAATGTAAACTTAATAAATCATTTTTAATTTATAACACATATTTAAAGAATAAAATTAGAGTTCTTTTGGAGACGAAAGTGTATAGTAAACAACAACTTAATTCATTGAACGATTTTACCAATAAGTTCACTCACAAAGTTTTTTTATTCATACACTTTTAAAAAGTGTACGAGAAGTCCGGTGCGCCTGAATGTCAAACGGTTTGTAAAAGTAAAATAATACTACTGTTATGATCCAGTGTTGCTGAGTCTCAGTTGAGTGGGCTCTTAGTTATCCACCTAAGTCTTGGTCACATACTTTCAATGTTTTTACTTTCCCGTTAACGTTTTACACTAAATACACATAATGTATGTATTTAATAAAAAAATATTTTCATTGTTACTACACAATAATAAAATATAATTCAGTGTAATAATACTTAAAACCTAATAGGTACTATTTTCTAATAAACTATTTGACGAGTAAAATAAGTGTTGCATTTATTCTTACATAAATTATTGAATATTAACTGAAGAATTAAGTTTTAAAGCTAACAATGTATAGTTATAATTTTTTACATGTTGAATATTAAACTTTTATTAAACTAGGTTAACTGATAATTTATCATCCGATACTTTTAGATCTATTACCATAGGTAGACTGTTATACATAGAAGACAAGTCGTTATGAAAATGTTAACATTTAAAGTGTATTACATAAATATAGAATGTTTAAGTGTTTTCCCTGTGGATAGAGAATAAGAATACTTCCACGGCTCCTCTACCAGTGGTAAGAGACCACTAATCAGATTGCGTTAGGACGACAGCCGCCGTAAAATTTTTGTCAAATAATATGAGGTGTCCTGAACAAAAATTAGCCGAATCGCCCCATCTTGGATGTAGGCGGGGACAGCAGTTGAGAGGGAATAAAGTAGTTAAAAACGGAGAAGACCTAAAGAATAAAGTGTTTGATACTAGCTGAACAACTTGTGCGGTAGCTATAGAGTTTGTAAAGACGGTAAAAGAGAGGACGGTGTGGAATATCAAGGGAGCCATAAATGATGTGTGGAATAGATTTTCTAGTCGTGTAAAGAATATTGCAAAGGAGATTGTTGGCGAGAGTAGGAATAGAATACCAGGAAACAAGGAAACCGGGTGGTGGGATGAGGACGTTCAAAAAATCATAGAAAGTAAGTAAAAGCAATTCAAAGTATGGCAGAAGAGCAGAAGGAGAGAAGATTGGATGGAGTATAAACGCTTGTGCAAAGAAGCCAAATGTGCAGTAAGTAAGGCGAAGTTTAAAAGGTATGATGAGTTGTATGATAGGCTAAGAACAAAGGAAGGCGAGAAAGAAATCTATAGACTTGCAAAAGTAAGAGAGATAAGGTCTAAAGATTATATAAGGTGTATAAAAAGTGTTGATAAAATGGAACTCTCGAGTGATGATGATGTGAAAAAAAGGTGTAAAGAGTATTTTGAAAAATTACTGAATAAGGAGTACCCAAAAGAGACATTAGAGGATAACTCGTGGAATGAGGGACTGGTAGATTTAATTAGTGAGAAAGAGGTTGTGGCATCAATGAAAAAAAAAATAAAATAGTAGAACCAGATGAAGTGCCAGTAGGAGATGGAAAATATTAGTGAGCCAGTTATGATGTATGGTTCAGAGTGTTGGGCGGTTGATAAGAAAGTAGAACAGAGAATGAGTGTAGTAGAGATGAGAATGCTTAGATGGATGAATGGAGTGACTAGAGAAGATAGGTTAAGGAACGAGCATATAAGAGGGAGTATAGGTGTAGCGTCAATCGTGGATAAGATGAGAGAAAATAGATTTAGATGGTATGGTCATGTTATGAGGAGAGAGGAATTGGAAGCTGTAAGAACAGTTATAGAACTGAATTTTGAAGGAAGAAGAGGTAGAGGAAGACCAAAAGAGATGGAAGGAAGTTATTGAATGCGATATGAGGACAGCTGATCTGAGCGTAGATGACGTAGGAGATCGTGTCAAGTAGAAGTTTAGGATTAGAGTGGCCGACCCCAAGTAGTTGGGATTAAGGCGAGGAAGAAGAAGATGAAAAGAATGTTTAAGTGTGTAAACAACAATTGTAGTTGATCTAATGTAGTTTAAAAAGACACCAGGTTATCAAAACACTGTCAAAAAAATGGATAATCTTTGTTTATACTTTGCTATTCTAAATACCCTATTATAATTAGATTTATGGTCAAATTAAAAAAAAATAGTATATCTTAAAGAAGAACGATACTTCAAAAAAGATTCAATCTTAAGTTAAAAATTAAAAAATCAAGCATGCTTAATTTAAAAAAAAAAATCCTGATTACATGCAAGTATACTTAATATTGTTCATATTATCAAATTGTAACTTAAAACTATAATTTATTTTTAAAAATGTTTGGTAGGGAATTTATATCGTTTGTGAGAAAGAAGAGTAATTGTTTCAAATTTCTACAACATATTTTATAGAACATGATTCATAATGTATGTCTAAGCAATATTAGTAAAAAAAGTGAACATATTGATACAAATTACAATATTCTAAAATAAATGCCTTCTTAACTAAAGATCTATAAAGTTTAAATTAATCTTAAATATAATAATCACAATGAAAAAATATTTTATAGAAAAATTCGTATAATAAATTTTATAATTAAATAAATTAAAAAAATCAAGTGTATAAACCAAATACAGGTTTATCTACCCATGTTAACAGACGCCAATACCTTGATAATTAGTTAGTTCCGTTAAAAAACATTAATTGTGTTATTTTTGTTTTCGGAATGAGCAAAATATAACCAATTTAATGTTTCTAACAGTTAAGAGTAGTTATCGGCCATCTAGTAGATATCGGTTGTTTATTGAAAATAACTAACCATTTTTCATTTTCAATGGTATTAAAGTGTAATGGACAATCGTAGCTGAGCAGCAATGCAATATAAATGTCTTCTCACAGGGTACGATGTGACGTGATAAGACTCAGTATAGCTAACCAACCATAGCTTACAATAGCTAGTAATCATCATTAGTGAGTATGATTCGTGTAAATGTAGGTGGCTCTAGCCACACTATTTAAGGTTATTAAGTCACACTTTGTGAGAAGCCGACATTACAATTCGTTCTTGAAAGCTGTTAATATATCAACATATCTGGTACCATTTTATAAATTTAATCTACTTTATTATCCTCCTGTTCATTTGACAATTTAGTTGCCTACACACAACTCCTGACTTAATCTTCTTCTTTTTCCTCGCCTTAATCCCAACTACTCGGGGTCGGCCACCCTAATCCTAAACTTCCGCTTGACACGATCTCCCATGTCATCTACGCTCACATCAGCCGTCCTAATATTGCAATCAATTACATCCCTACATCTCTTTTTTGGTCTTCCTCTACCTCTTCTTCCTTCAACATTCATTTCTATAACTGTTCTTACAGCTTTCGATTTCTCTCTCCTCATAGCATGACCAAACTTAACTCCTAACTTAGTGTATTTATGAAATTATCGATATAATTTAGTCATTTTGACCTAATAGATAAGAAGTATAAATAAATGGATTTCATATCTTACATTTTACTGAAGTACATCAAATTATTTATGTATTTTCGTTGATAACAAGTTAACATAACAACACAAAAATAAACAGTAGCATTAAAAAATACCGAATATACGTATGTTTCGGATACATCCCTCCCAAAATACAGAAATGTTATAATAATAATTCTTCACATGTATCTATAGTTTTTATGTATTACTATGACGTTATACAAATGATTAGATGGTTACACATTGAAGTTGGAGTGACTGAGGTGTTAATCTAAAGGGCACAATGATTTGTTAATTTTTAATTGCACGCAAAATGTACCTTTAGTCCTGTAAACAAATATAATAATAAAAAAATGATAACGGTACTGTTGCAAATTTAATAAAAGGTAAAGTGTTTTATTTTAATGATAATTTTGAAAAATTTTTGTCAAAATTATCTTATAAGAAAACATAAACAATTTGGTTTTGCTTCAGCTGCTTTTATACAAAATAAGAATTTAACTATAAAATTCTAAAAATTAATTTTTATTGTAGATTATTTTATGTTAGATAGATTTTTTCGATAATAAAATAATGAATCGGTGATCTATTTATTATTATATATTACAAGAGGAACTACCATTTACACTTATAACTATAACTAACAACCTGTCAGTAACAATTATCAGTTTCCTAGATTGCTTAAGAAAATAATATATAATTTAAAGGGATAGTAATCATTTTTAGTACTGGAAATTTGTTATCAGATTTTTAATTAATTACGTGATGATTTATGTATTAATAATGAATAGAAACCCGATTTTTAAGTTATTTTAAATTTGATTGATTAAAACATATTTAGAAATTTTTTAAGGGAGGTTAATTAATTTTATTGTAAATTATTTACAATACTGAACAACGTAAATAAACTTACCGAATAAAATTTCCGCTCCATAACTAATTTCAAAAATGTATAAATAAAACAGATTTAGCGTTGATAATACATTTAATGTGAATAGAATCAATAAACGCACCTAATTCAAGACTTCGCTTTCGGATTTATGTCTTGTCAAGTAACAATAAGTACTATTTTGTAACTATTTATTTGTAAATGCAAACCCTGCCATTATTTAAAAAAAAAATAATTCTGCTAGGATAAAAATAGCCTTTAAATTGTTTTATCCTTGGGAAATAATTTGTTAGACATTATTATTACGTTCGAGTATACTCGAACGTAATAAGGTGACTGTTTGTTAATGTAAAAATCATTCGAAACATAAAATACTCTCAAATTATAATATAACCAATAGGAAGTATTCATGTTAAATAACTTATGGCGGTACAAGTAAATATCGAAATTATTTTGAAAACCCGTTGGAGTAAAATTCTTAGAATATATTTTCGCATAGATGTTTAATGATAAATATCTAACCCTTCAGGAGTAAACAGACCCATTGGAACAAGTAATAGTTTTGTTGGCAAGTCTGGCAGGGACAGTCTTGTGCAAAATTGCGTACAAGGAATTCCAAGAAAATTGCGACCTCTGTTGAAAAGCGACGCTGCGTAGTAACAAGTGCTTGCCAAATGACTACATCGGGCCCTTCCTGTAAACAGAGATTTCATTAATTATCTCGCGGAAGCAATAAAAATTTAATACAATTACTGATAATATTTGGCTCGTTTGAACACATGGGCTGAAAGCGACCTCCGTTTACACAAAAATCAACGTCTCCGTTTTGGGGCGTATCTCCATACAAACCAGCATTTGTATGTATTACTTGGACGAACTTTGCATCGTCTCTCGTTAAACGGTATTCGTCGGACGCGAGCATAGCTATGAGGGGTCTAGCTGGATCTAACCCTAGATGATCCAGTATTTTAAAATTATCTTCAGACAATATAACCTATTTTTGCTAACCATCAAACAAATCTTGTTTTTGCTTTTGTCAAAGCAAAATTACCTATTATTTTGTATTGCTTCAACGTCAAATGATTACTCATCATTCCACATATATGGGCTCCCAAACTGTGTCCGACGCAGTGTATGTCGAATGCCGAAGCTCCTGAATAAGTTAGATGAGAATAAAATTGAGCAGCGCACTGACTTACTAAGCGTACGTTACGCAGAGAACCAATATAACATGGATACTTGGTAAGGGGCATCCAATCCACAGTAAATACATTATGATCTCCTAACTTGAGGTATGCTAAATTTAAATAAAGTTCATACTTTTTATAAAATAAAGTGAAACTCTGAGTTGAATGTAGTTTTTTGGCCACTACAAGTGCACATTTAAGTGGATTAACTAGAACATTAATTTTTATCTTCACTAGTTAACTTGCAGTCTAATAAAGAATTTTTTTAATAACAAGACAAAAATAGTTTTTATTTTAAGATTTCTAACGAGGGCGATCCAGAATTTTTTCAAGAGGTACGCAACAATTTTTTAGGATGTCAAAAAACTTTTTGGCAATTTTATCATTTAAAAACCTTAATTTTTTTTTTTTTTTAGTCGACTATACTTTACCTAAAATGCTTTTGTTTAAAATGTTTTTTTGATCTAAAAAAAAATCATCTAAAAATAGGTAACGTTTAAAAAAGAAACGTGTACTGGCACAATCCTTGTTGATTAAAAAGACCGCGAGTACTGTCCAATAGGGTGACCCCCTTAGCTACATGAGAGGTTTTTTTTTTTAATATTTTAAAAGTTATAAATGATTTGGCAGAGAGGGGCGTAAAACTCATAGAAGAGTATAATAATATTTTAACAAAAGACGAAGCACAAAAACAATACCTATTACAGATTGTTACAGAATACCGGCGTTGTTTTCCTAATTGCAATAAAAGCACATTATGCCAAGAATTTAAAAAAAGATAAATTATTTAAAATATGTAGTAAATTTTTTTAGTACGCTTTTTTTTTGTAAATAGTTTCTGGTTGTATATAAATTTGTAAGTTAACATTATTTTAGCTTCAATGTGAAACTGAAACGGTATTAATTTTACTCTGATGAATTTTTTTTAAATTAAAATTTAAAAAACTGTAGGTTTTGAATAACAAATAATAGAAAAAATGTCGAATTAAAAATGTATAGAAAATTAAATTTAAAAAACGGTTAAATGAATTTTTTTTATGTTTTTACAATGAACGATTTATAAATTAACAATTTTAACGGTAAGAATAGAACATATATGTTTTTATTTTTTTAGGGCTAAATAAGAACTTTTCGAAAATTTTTGTATATATACTTTTTATAGAAGAATTATATACCTACAAAAAAGTCCAAATAAACTTTTTCGCAAAAGCTAAAGTTTTTGAGATAGACAGAAAAAACTAAAAAATCACACTTGGGGGGTTATTTTTAACCCCCTTGGGGCACGTCTTAGAGTTGACCAATCGTCTCCAAATTTCGTACAATTTATTTTTCCATGTATTCAAATAATTCTAGGGGGTGGCACTTTATAATTTTTAAATTTTATAAATAAGGGACACCCTACTGTACAAGTACCTCAAGTTATTTTACTCAAGAGCTACAATTTATTATTATAAAATTGAATTAGTTAATAAAAAAAAAAAACTATAAAAAATGTTTACCATTTAAACATTTACAAATTAATATATCATTAATATACTAGTTCATTTATAAACTTCGTCTTTTACATAAACCAAAAACTTCTGAAAATTTGTTACTAAGATTTGATAATACTTAAAATATTTCGTAGATTATTGCCTTTGGCTGTATAATATATTAATATATGATTGCCCTTTTACTACAATAACTACTTAACCGTAACTGGAAATATCAATACGCCCCATAAATATAAAAAAAAAAAATTTAAGTGATGTCAATGATTCATTACCATTTCTGATGAGAGCAATTTGATTTTCATTTTCTGCACCATTAAAACCATGAATGAGTATAACATTCTTTTTGTTTGGGTTCCATCCACTGTAAAGCAAAGATCTTTTACTTCTCATGTCTACTTGAAATCTCCGTTTTATACGACCACTTAATAATAAAAAAATATAATGAATAAATAATAAAAAAAAAAAATAGTAATAATAACTTGAATTGTTTATCAATCATAACAATATTATGTCTATAAATCTTAGAAATTATTATTGTAATCTTTATTTTTTTTTTAACTTTTACATTATTTAGATATATTTAATATTTATTTTAATGAATAAAAAATTAACTGATGATTGTAGAGATAACTTCCTTCTCAGTTATATAACAAATCAATAAATAACTTTATCACAATTACCTACATGGTATTTTGATTAATATCAGGGCATTTTTAGGAATGATATAAGTCAATAATACGTGGGACTGTAAAACACTCTCTTGCATTAATTTTCCTATTTACTATAGTAGTAAGAAAAACATTAGAAACTCATTAAACAATCATGATATGGCTTTTGTCAAATGTCGTCAAAAAAAAAAAACAATTAAAAAAAAAGTTTTTTTTAATTCTATGTTTGATAATATTTTAATTTATTCTTCAAATGATGTGTTGGTATAGAATGCCTTTAGCAAAGATCTAGTAAACCAGTTGTTACAAACATCGTTGATTATATTACATCGTGTGACAGCTGATCTCCAGCGTCTTGTTTCACTCATCTCTTTGCCCACCCAGCACGGCAAATCGATGATCTCCGTGTCAATTGTCATCCGTGTATAGTTTATCGTCGTGAGTGTCAGTCAGTTAATTGTTTTATGTGTCATCTTTTCTTTTTTGTAGTAAGCGCCTTCGCTTGAATGGTAAATTGTTCGGCCATTGTACGCCGTTATTCTTTTACTTGTTTATCGCACTCTTGTGCTCTAAGTTCTCGTGCCCTTGTACGCCACTAGTGATTGGGCCCTGACCATCACTAAACATCATTATTACCGTAGTCTGTTCTCATCCGCCATTACGTGCCTGGGGATCTACACTCTGACTCGTCATACTCAGATGTTCCACACCATTACCACAAGATCTCATACAGTCCACTCATCACTATCAACGACTTTTTTCTATTCAGCTGAGTTTATATTGTTTTTAATGTTATTTATTGTTTGTTTTAATTGAGATTAACTATTTTGTTTTGTGCCGCTTCGCACGCCATTAGTATTTAACCCAACCCCATAAATGTAAGATACTCTCTGAAGAATTTCTAATATATGTGGTTATTTGTTATTTAATTATTGTCTACTCTCGTTACTTATTGGACGTACAATGAGCCGTCATCCCACAGGTGACCCATTACCGCTTAAATAATAGCGATTTCAACAGGCTTAAGGTAAAACGACATTTTAGTGCGGTGCACAACTGCCGTCCTACGGTCTAGCTGCCTCGTACAAAACAAGTGTATTCTAATTATAATAATAGTAAAATTAAGTTGCTACGCGATACTTAATATTGATACACAAATATAAATTAGTTTGTTGTTTAATTTTTGTTAAGAAAAACTATTTTTTGTGCTTGTATTGAATTACTGATAATCATTAAAAATTTTGTAAGATATATCTTGATACATTCATTTTATTGTATATAACATTATTACGATGAAGGTGAAGAGTTTTTTTCGTCGATTAGCAACATTATTTAAATGCTGTGTTTCGGAGAATAAGAAGCATAATACAAGTGGTAATGTATCTTAGTTAAATCCAGCTCAGATATTTTTTTAACCAATAGTATTGAAATATATACAAAAAAGTATATTGGAAAATGTAAAAAGATAAAAATATACTTAAACATAATAAGTAATTTACTATACTAAAATTTTATGTTACATAAAGGGATGAATAATACATTAAGCAAGAAAAAATAGAACAATATTCTGTGAAATATTATATTTACAATTGTAAATATCGATTAACTATTGCCTAAGACGATTTTATGACTATAGACTTACCAATGAATTATAGGAGATAAGTGCTGTTAATGTTTTAGTAGATGGTTGCATTAATGAGACGATGTATCTAACATTAGTTTGTTTAATACATTGATATCATACTTTCATCTATATTTTACATAAATCAATTTTGTAAATGACACTTTTTGATGTCAGGTTATCATAAAATTACAATTTTTAGTATGCGAGTTGTATTGTAGTCAAAATATTTAGATTTTATAACTTTTAAATTCAAGAAATCACTTTAGGGGTTTATGGAAGTTTATTCTTTTTCAATTTAACCATATATATATATATATGTACATACACGTTTAACGTATCAATGAAATATTTCGTTAATAATTTATTCCAACTTGAAAATTAAAAATAATTCCATTTTTATAGATAAAAGTAACGTCGTAAAAAATGTAACTTATATAAGTTTTTAAAACTAATTGTTCTTTATATGACCAAATATTAAAGATAATAATTGAAATAAAATAAGATCAATATATTTTTATACTAAAGAAATGCTAATAAATATAATAATATAATTGACATAAAAAATGTGATTTAACAAATGTTAAGAAAACTGGCTAGTTAAAACTATTGTTTCACTCATTGTCTGTCATAGTAATGTGAACTCTACGTGAACTTAAAGTTCATGCTCTAAAAATACATCTGTACTTTTAGCTCTGACGAACGACATCGTTTATTTGATCATTTTGAAGCAAGAAACAAACAAGCAACAATATTTGTTGCCCCTCCAATAAAAATAAAAATGTACCTATAAGATGTTATTTATTTTCAAATGGGGTGTCAGAACCCTTATCCTCCCTCTTGGTATCCTTCAAATAGTGTAATGCTGATGTTTTTGGACAGTAACTTAAAAAAGGACTTATAGAATACCTATTTTAAATAATTACTATAGGAATGTTACTAAAAGAAAAAATATTTCGTTTTTGCTGTAAAACTTTGAAAAATATATTATTACTTAATTAATTAACTTTTCAATTACTTAATGTACTTGTTACGATTTTTCATATACAAAAATTATACAAGTTTAAGTGATTAAATTTTCATTAAAATACCATAATTCAATTTTTTAAGTACAACTATTAATATTAATAACACTGTTCTACGTAATATTTTAATTTGAAATCATTATAACCAAGTCCCAATTAGTTTTTTAACATTATGTCAATTCTAGCCTTAGATTTCATTATTTAAGTCTAGTTGCTTAGTAAACATAATAATATATTGAACTATCCCTGTAGTGTCACTATTGTAACAATCAACTCTAAAAAAATACACTTTAGCAATTTTAGTAAGATATTATATTCGTTTTATGAAAAATATACAATTTTGTAATTATTATTTAGACAATAATAATAATAATGAAATTTGAAATATTAATTAGAAATTATGTCAGGTGATGTGCGTCTAGATATTAAACAGATAGAATATACCGCAACGAAAATTAAAGATATCGATATTGAAAATGTAGTGTCAGTAGGTGGTGTGTTTACTGTAAAACAAGAAAGAGATGACAATAAGATTCCTGTGGAAAGTATGGATTTACACGAAGATGCGAATGAACTTTGCTCTTCCAATATTATAACTCAGGATGATCGCCCAAATAATCGTACCGCAGAGCTTCAAGTAGCTTGTATAGAAGGTTTGTTGACACTTAAAAAAGAGAGTAGTGACGATATGATTCCTGTGGAAAGTATGGATTTACACGAAGATGTGAATGAACTTTGCACTTACCATATTATAACCGAAGAAGATCGCCCCAATAATCGTACGCCAGAACTTGAAGTAACAGCTGTTGAAGAAGCAGTGCTAATGGACACGCATAAACACGAAGGTGTTATACGCTATTTTGGAAAAAATAATGAAGCCGGTAGAATTATTTCGAAAAATGGAAAATGTTATAAATTTTATAAGGTAGGCATATTATTTTATTGGCATTTACACGACAGAACCTGCGTTTTAAAAAAAACTAGTCGAGTTTTTTAATACATAAATTAAGGCGGATGGAGTATATGTACACCAAAATAAAAAATCTTAAATTTCTTGTAGTAATTGGGCATTAAACATAAAACAATTCTCTTTTAATTTATATAAAAATAGCGCATTTTTGTTTTCCCCGAAAATAATTTAAAAAATCATGTTTCGCAGTTTTGTCATGAAGTTGATAATATATATTGGTTAATTAAAAAAAATACAAAAAATCCTTTAAAATTGTCTTTATTTTAGAAAGATATTGTTGGTTCTTATAAATATTATAAATCTCCCCAAAAAGCAAAGTTTGTTGTCGACAATTCACAAGCAAATTGGGCAAAAGATGTAGAAATAGTTGGAGACATTTATGGGCAACGGTAATTATTAAATGATTTAACAGTATGAATAATTGAATTAATTTTGTTATTTTTTTGTATATATAGATGCTATTATTGTTTAATGCATGGTCACTATACAGAGGAATGTATTCAATTAGATATTGATTCTTCAAATTTTTATTATCCTTACATTTAAGGTACTAGTACAATCTGCTTGGTTATTCTATTTATTAAATTATTATTCAAATTTAATATTGTACAGATTTTAATGTGTTAAGTAAAAAATACCATTATAATACATCTAAGTACTTTAATTTATTGTTAAAAATGAAGACTTAAAAATATTGTAAATAATATTTTACGTAATTGTTAATCAATAAACAATATAATGTCATAAAAATTATTTTGATTAATTTGTTTAATATAATAAATGTAGTATGCGTATGTTTAAAAATATAATTTCAGAAAGAAATATATTTCATAAAAATTTCCAATGTATACTATGTTTCAACTCATTTTAGAAATGTTTAAATAATTTCTTTATAATAAATTTTTATTTCAATATTTTTGCAATAGTTTTTTCAATTAATTAAAAAAAAAACAGCACAGTGGCGTCACGGCACAGTGGGGAAGTGGCATAGTTGGGTCCAAAATTGGTTTAATCTGACACTAATTAAAATCACTGTCATAAGTAAGGTTTTGATACATCACTATAGATAGTTTTTAATTTTAAGAAATTGGTGAATAATTATAAAAGCAACATTAACTTCTATTTCCTTAATTATATCCAAATCAGTAATTCTTAGATTCAAAAATATAATATATAATTTTTATAATTAATTGTTTTCGAATAATTATTGATTTTGATTTTTAATATGTTAAAAATAATCATTTTTAACCTACTTATTTTTGCTCTTATAAGTTTCTAATAAAAAAAAAATGAATTAATACCATAACTTTTAGCTCAACTTGTAAGTTTGAAATTGGCATCATTATATAGAAAAAAATAGTATTGTTAAGATTAATAAGTAGTCAAGAAATTTTATAATCACTATTTACAATAAATTTATCAGAAAACCTCGATTTTTTTTGCATTTTTATTGTAATAGATTATTTTAATTGAAATCGTAGTAATTATTTCTAATTAACTTTTGGTGTTTAAAAAATTCTACAATTGAAGTATGTAGAACTGAATTAATTTTAATGATTTACTTAAACTAAAAAAACTTATCAAAAAGTTGTTAAAAATCTACTCAATTGTGGGCGTATAATAAAATTTGATTATAATTGTAAAAATTCATTGTTAAATTCAGATGAAACTAAAAATGATTTTTGTTTAGATTTATGGTTTATACAGCAACATGTTACCAAAAAATTTGGAATGTTTTAGACTGGTAGTAGCACACACAAATAGAGTAAAAAAATTAATATATTACAAAGTAAAATTATTTACTTTTGTAGTTTAATACTTTTATTATATCAAATCTATTTCGACAATAAATACTTTATAAATATTAGAAATGAATGATTTTAATTCTTTGTATGGAAAAAGCTAGTTAAGCTACTTTTTGTTTGATTAAGGGATTTTTTTTAATTTTGGAGCGTAATATCCTCAACTAAATACGAATTACAAATATGTCATTTGACATATTGTTGAAAAAAGTAAGTTAAGTGAGTGTTGGAAAAATAAATCACAGCCACAAAAAAAAAAACGCAAAGTAAAATGATATTAACATGAATAAGAAATTTCTTCTCATGAGACTACAGTGATGGGATTCTTGATATTTATTAAAGTTATTGAATCTAAATGAGATAAAAATCAAATGATTTGAAAATTATTTTCTAACTCAAAAAAAATGCAAATATTAATTGCCACAGTCGAATTCGAACCTTGTAACCCTAAGCGTGAAAGATAAAAGTGTTACAATTTCGGCAACTGTTCGTCGCTTTCGTCAGTTCATAAAATTGGCAATTTATGCTAATTAAAATTTCAAAGTTACTTTTTCGGATTTGAAAACCCAAAAAAATTTAAATAAGTTTAAATTCTTATGTCTTATGAACTTTATTCTACGTTAATTAAATTATATAATATTCACGAAAGTCAGTGTAATCCCTTTGTAAGTTATTTTAAAATAAAATAAAATACATAACACAGAATTTTAACACAAAAATAGCATATTTTTGAATATGGTAGCTATTTTCACCAAGAAGAAAATCTATATTTCAAAATTTTTTTTTCATATTTAAGTATATAATATAAGCTTTAATTTAATATTAAATAAAAGTGTCATTATTTCTGGAACATTTTCAAAAATTACATTAAAAAAGCTTAACTTGTATGCAAAAATTGTTTTTTTAATTCCCCCTGCGGGCTGGTTCATAGTCAGATTTTCAAAAAAAGTATATCAAATGAAAGAAAAATATCTAAGGTTTCAATATATAAAAATAAATAATATAAAATATATAATATAAAAAGTATAATTCAATATAAAATTTCAATATAAATAAGTTAAGTATTAAAATATTTCATGTTGAACTATGATTTTTATATAAAAAATATATTTTTCGTGAAATTCGACGGTCATTTTCCTATAGAAGAAAAACAGTGGGAACAAATTTTTTTTTTTTTGATCTTATAGTATTTATTGTAAGCCTTAATTTGACATATGTTTAAAGGACGCATTATTTCCGGAACATTTTCAAAGGTTAAGTTGAAAAAGTTCTACTTTTATTACCTTATGTTTCAAGTTTTGATCGCTCCCTGTATAAAGGGAAATTGTCCAATTTAAATTAAAAGCATGTTAAATGAAAGAAGTATATATAATGTATAAAAAAAAAAAAATTATGTTGATACATACATTTTTCTAAAATTTATAGCAATTTAAACTTGAAAATATAAAATCGAGAATCAAAAATTTTAACACAAAAATAGCATGTTTTTATCTACGGCAACTATTTGCACATAGAAGATAAGTCGTCGGGACAAACTTTTTTTTCATTTTATAGTACATGACATAAGATTTAATTTTATATATGTTTAAAGGACAAAAAAAATTAACTTGATTTGTTAATTTTTGAAAAAGTTATAGTAGTTTTAAACAAAAAATGTGAAAAAAATGACGAAATTTACAGATTTTAAAAATTGTAATTGTTTTGGAAATTTCCCCTATTTACGGGGAACGAGGGAAATTTTTTCAATTTTTAAGGGTAATGTCTTCAACTAGATACAAATTATCATCTTTTGACATATTTTTCATCAAAATTGGTCCAGTGAGATCTGAGAAAAAGTGGAAACAGACTCAAAAAAAAAAAAAACACATCATGATAAAATTAATACCTTTTCAGTTTCACATCGAAGTTAAAACTCACTCGTGATTCCGCCAATGATTCCTACTCAAGATAAAATCTTAAGCACACAGATAAAATATATAATATATATACGTATTTGAGATATTTAATTGTATAACAAGTACTTAGGGTCATTTTATAGTTACAAAAAAGAAATTTTATCCCCATTTTCTTTTTTGTAACTTTATATATTGAATGATTAATTTCTTATTTTTTTTTTAGTAGCAATTTCACAAATTGAAAAATTTCTGACTAAAATGATAAAATATTTTCATGTGCGACACTCTTTACATTCCAATGGCTCTGTTAGCACTTTGCAGATAGTTAAGTATGACATAATTATCTTTTATTAGAAATATCTTTAAATTTCATAGTTTTCATTTATAATTGTATATTAGGATATACAAAAAAAAACCTCGATGGTCTACATTAATTAAAAAAATAAATTGATAAAGTTTCTCAGTTATATACATACCTAGTGTATAAGTAAAAGTTCACGTCAGGGTTTGGACAAGTGTAAGACAGCTTTAATTTACATTTCCAGTAAAATAGATCTTCTCTAGCTTCTGAAACTAAAAAGAATAAAAAATTAATTATTGTAATTTAATTTTAATGTATTCAAATTACTTGAGCGTAATTTTAATAACAATTTATTAATTACTTACCATTAGCTACGCAATAAAATGTTATTGTAATAAGATTAACTATTATAACATTTCCTTTTTTCATACTTCTCGTCCAAATTATGATTTTATTCGTCAACATCAGAAATGTTTTAATACACTAAAAATGTGTACCAAGTAAAATTTTGGTAGGACTCACGCGTAAGTTCTCCTAATTTTTTCATTAAAATAAAATCAAATATCTAATTTGATAAAATAAATACTAAAGAGTTTGAAATATCGTGTACAATTATCAACCAGATACTGCTAAGAAGTAAACAGTTCGAACAGGCTTGCTGTTCCGGTCGATTTCATAAACTACTACTTTAAATTTCTACAAAAACAAAAGAAGTATGCCTTCTTTCATTTAATAGATTGCAATTTGTTAGATACGCTTTGAACTATGTTTCTTTTTTTTACTATTTTTTCAAGCATACGATTTATAGAAAATAAAATAAGATTTACTTTTTCTCTAGATTTTATAAAAAATAATAATAACAATTATGCCTTCAACTACACATACGTTATATATTATTTACATTTTTATTTGTGGATTATGCATTACAAATATAAACCAGTACGAGCTAAACCCACTCTATGTTTAAAAATGCTTATAAATCATGAGTAGTAATCATAAAATTGGTTCAACAAATGACTAGACAAAAGAATGAATAGGATACATTTATTCTTTATTATTTATGTACCAAATATGACAGTGTTAAGTTTTTTTAGACTAGGCTCTGCAGATATGTGCACGTGTATACAATGTTAGATACATTTTTATGATATCTATCTACCTTTATTATCCTTAATTATTTTAATTTAGATTTCTTGTTCTCCAGAAATATTTTGAGTAAATAATATTATTAAAACATACAAATCAAAATAATAACGAATTATGAGTGTCCACCACTAACGAACAAGCAGCAAAAAAATAATTTTAGCTAAGTTAAATAACAAAGTGTAATATTCTTTTATTAAAATAACCCAGTTAAGCAATAGCTACAACTATTTGTATGCACATGAACAAATGTGAATTATACTTATGAATATCATATATATAATTACATAAAATATATATATATTCAAATATATGAATGTAAATTATATTAGATATAAAAATTTTTCTTTTGTTATCAGAGTAATAAGTGTATACATTTTTTTATTGAAAACGTTGTATCGCTGTCATATATTCCTCACAAGGATGAGCTAATAGACGCAACTATAAAGTAGCTGAACATAGCCTCACCAAAAAGTTAGAAAATTACAAATATTTTATTTTATAATTTACATTGTGCTCTCAGGTTTGACGATATAAATACAAGAAAAGAAAAAAGTTTGATAAAGTTGCTCCGATTAGATTGATATTTAATGAATTTGTACAAGTCATAATTGTGTAGTTGTTGGAACTTAACGGAAAAATAAAAAATAAATTCCTCTATATTTTTAAATACTAAACATTGAAAAAATAACTCATCTTTATTCGGATATACTAAAAATCAAATAATTACGTCGTATGTGCCTCGTAAAAATAAAATTGTGATCTTGGTATATAGTTTACATGATCAAGGAGTTACAATTCTGGAGAACGAAAAAAACCGGAAATAATTACTTATTATAATATCATAAAGAACGGAGTAGATGTAGTAGATGACCTAAAGGGAGAATATTTAGTATCGAGAGTAAGTTGTAGATGGCTACTATTTTTTTCGCACTAATGAATATAGCAGGAATAAATAGTCAAATTATAATTTATAATAATTATTTATCGTGCTAATACTGGCAATGTTATAACTCATCGAAATTATTTACAAATTTTGACTAAAGAATTTACGATTAACCGACTTTTTATATCAACATTAAGTACTCCGCTTCGTCCGCAGCCTGGAATAAAATATAAAAACAATAAAAATATTTAAATATGCTTATTGCCAAAAAAATCGTATAACGATAGTGAGTATTACATAAAAATATTTCATTATATTGCTATAAAATAAATTATATTGTGACAAAAATAAGATGAATCTGAAAACAACACAGATTAAACTTGTATTTCTGTTTTTTAATTTTTATTTCTAAAGTTTTATATTTTATTTGATACTGTATATTATTTATATGATACACATACCTGCAATAAACGTTTAATTCACAAAAAAATTGTTATTATACTCAAAATGCAATGGGTGAGCCTCGCGCTCATACACGTCAAACCGTACAAACTTGTACAAATAAGAACGCTTCTTTTGACGGGTTAATAATGTTATGATGATATTTGTATAACATTATTTTTTAAAATTGCTGCCCGTAATAATAATTATTATTATATAATTTGTATGTAAAAATAATTTTAATCGCAAAATTAAAATTCAATAAAAAGATAAAGTAAATTGTGAAATTCTGTATCGTAGAGTGTTCACTAAGTAATGTAACTGATTTCTATTGTACTTTGTTTTTAACAATGAACCTGTTTCTTATTTACTGAACACTGTACAATTAAATCTATTTTTTAATTTCTAGTATTACACTTTGTTAAGTGTATTTTATAAATATAATTCTCAATACTGAAACTAAAAATTTACCATAAGGGTACATACAAATGGAGACTACCCCATAAAGTATTTTCATATTAGCAAAATTACTACCAAACAAACTTATTAGTAAAAAAATAATAGAAATCAAAACCGAAAAAAGTATTATATTGATATAAAGTAATAATATCAATATCATTAATTATATAAAAATTATAAAATCATTATACCGATAAGCCTATTTGAAATAAAACCGAAAAAAGTATTACATGTTAATATAATATTATATATTAATGTTCATAGTCAACACAATATTATTTTAGCTTCGATGCGAAGCTGAGAAGGTATTAATTTTACTATGATGTGTTTTTTTTTGTATCTGTCACCACTTTTCTCAGCTCTCATGAAACCGATTTCTTTCAATGATACGTCAAAAAATCACAAATGGTATCTAGTCGAAGACATTACTCTCAAAAATTGAAAAAATTTCCTTCGTTCCCCGTAAATGGGGGAAACCTCCAAAAAAATTACAAATTTAAAAATTGCTAATTTTCGAAATTTTTTCAATTTTTTTTACTTAAAACTGCCATAACTTTTTCAAAAATGAATTTATCAATATAATTTTTTTTATATAGATGCTTGATGTCTTTACTTATTATTTTGTATATATTTTTTATAAATCTAACCCTTTACCAACCCACGGGGGAGGATTCTAAATAACAACTTTTTCATAAAAAATTAACTTTTTCCACTTAACTTTTGAAAGTGTTCCGGAAATACTGACACTTTTATATATATCTTAAATTAAAGATAATGTAATATTCTTTAATACAAAAAAAAAAAATTTCGGACTTAATTTTGTCTTCACGGTGAAAATAGCTACCGAATGCTATTATTGTGTGAAAATTCTCAATTTTATTTTTTACATTTTTACCTTTATAATGATATAACTTATTGAAAATTGTATGGATCAACATAATTTTTTTATGAGAAATAATATTTTTTAATAATCCCTTTTTCATTTGACATACTTTATCTGAATCAGGATATTAATAACGAACTAGCAGATCATGTTGCTTTTGGTATAATCCACCAATTTTTGAAAATTAAACACTATCTAAAGATTTGCATTGAAGCGTTTTTTTTTATAGTGATTTTAATCACTGTCAGATATCATAATACTTGATCCAACTATGCCACGTCACCACTGTGCCGCAACCCCCCTGTGCTGGGTTTTTTTTTCTTATTCTATATTTTAGGGTGAAATCAGGTAAATCTAAACAAATGGGTAATGTTTACAAATTTTGGCGTTCAACAAATTGTAATTTTTAATATTTTAGTTGTTAAACAAAAGTAACAACTATAAACGAACAAATATATTATGTACAAGCAATGGTTCCTGTTTGAGCAACTCGTTATTTAAATAATAAAAAAGAGTGGACTGTATTTCTAGATTTTAATTTATTATAATGAAAAATT